CTTCATCACACACTGCGCAATGTCTCACAGTAATGGAAAAATCAAATGAGCATATTGTACCAAGAAATCTTTTCTACTTCAACATACAGAGCAGTTCTAAAACACATAATATGCAGTAAATGAGGTGTAAAATGCAATATTGTGGGGTTGCATTGCATTGCATTGCCGTGTTGTGGGTTCACATGGACTGGGGCTTTGAACACATGCGTACACAAGTGGTACAAGAGGCTGTTATCATGCATGCTTTGTCAAACTGTACGTAGACATCTCTCACACCTCCTCACGCCTGCATTTTTCAAACAGCAACACCTTTCAGTCGATAATGTGCCGTGTCACGTGCTCCTTTGTGCTTTGTCCATATATTTACAGCATACACAAATTAGGAGCTGTGGTCGTACACTTTAATGGCTGCACTATTTCCCCAGAGAGAGATCTTTTAAGTGTGCGTGTGCTCTCTGGCAGGTTGCACTGTTTGGAATTCAAATGGGAGGATTTGCATGGATAGGTTGTGGTGGCCCCTGCTGCAAAAGTAAATATGAAATAGGACCAAGTGGGCTTCGCAATGAATCACAATCAAATCTTAATCTGAATTGTCACCGTTTTCAAGTCGCAAAGGCTGATGTTTTTTGCATAATCAAATATCAATGTGGGCTCTTGTACTTTTTCAAAATCAAAGGTGCACTCAGCAATTTTTCTTGTCTTCATGGAGATGTTATTGCTTTGTCTGGAATGTTTCATGGTATGACATTAAACATATCCATTTAGCATTCAGTGTTATGGATGCTTCTATTGCTCAAAAATACAATAACTCCATCTGTGAATAGGGGTGACTCTCCACAGATCTGAATGGTAATGTGGTAGTGCTGTAACTTGCTTGTCTCTCTTGTGATAGATAGGTTTAATCTTTACTATGGAACATTCTAGACAAAGCTATAACGTTTCCATGGCAATAGGTAGCGGACTTTCCACCAGAAAAGTTGCACAGTGCACCTATTAATTAACTGTTTGTCCACTGTCTGATTAAAAAATAAAAAAAATCTCAATTTCACAGACATGCAAAACACTGATGGAAATTTGTAACCCACTTATTTACAGGCAAATCAGTCATTCTGAGAAGAATCTAGACCAGTTTGTACACCAAAACCACAAACAAAAAAATACCCAGAAATTCATTCAAATGTAGTAGGACTTTTATATGAACACAGCTTTGGCATGAGAATTTACTCCAACAAATTCAGGGTGAATTTGAAATCTGACTTTCCTCTGTGCAGAGCTTGTTCTCACTTAGCATGAGAGTAGATCAGACAAAACCACTGAGCCTCAGCTTCACAAAGAGTCCAGGGATTTATTTGTGCACCAAGAGGGTTCAGAAACAGAATCAGTTTGAACTTGGTGTTATTTTAGTCAGACATTTTAGGGGGAAAAAATAGTCCGGAAAGGTAATTTAGCAACAAAAATAATAGTATTACATCTGACTTTACAAACAGTTTACTAACACAGTAGTTCAGACTTCTACAAACATCTTTTGAAATACAAGGGATTTTTGTATTAGCTTATCAATTCATATTTCAGTTTTTCAAATGCTGATTCTCCTCGACAGGTTTGTGTGCGATGAATCCTGATTTCAATACATAAATTGAACATCTAATAATCATGAAAAACTATTTTGTGTTTAGTATTTATATCAAAAGCCAGAAAGGAAGAGTTGCCAAGGTGAAATTCGGACTGTAAAGAGACCATATTATTTTCTGATCTATGTTCTAATGTAGTTTACTCGTCAAAAATATACCTCGAGTTCTTCTTCATGTGGTAATACAGGAAGTACTCCAATGTGTTTTTAAACTCCATGAATGTTCACTAGAATCATTTGGATAATTTCAGCCCTGGAATCACAGATCTCTACTGAATAAAAGATAAAAGATAGCCGTTAACTTGAAAACTACCACTTTATGACTTCATAAAGTGAAACAGAGCATTTTGAGCTTTGGAGATTAAGCAGACTAAAACTAAACACGACTCCAGGTAGGTTCCTGATGAGGTAACAACATTCCATATTTTGCTGATTTAGTGTAATATAGGACCTTAAAAATGATCTTGCCTCCTTTGACTCAGAGGTCCCCTTCACACGCAAACATTCCAAACAAGCAGTCCCATTATACTTTTTAGAACATAATACTTCGCTCTTATGAATTATAAATGCCTATGGATTCCAAGTGGCTTATTTTTAGCTGGCGTTCCCACACATCCACACGCATTTAAATACGAAAGTTTGCCTGTTGACTCCTCCAGGCACTTTCTGTCGCAAATGTGTGCGTATTATATTATCATTATTATGTTTTTTTCATCACATTTTAGTCCTAACTTTGAAATTAAAATTCTTTCCAAGTTAAAACTAAAAAGAAGTAATTTTCACACATTTTTTATCGTGTCCAAAGCAGCAGATGTCTTATGGAGTAAAGATAATCCCACTCGTAGTAAGAAACTTCTTGTGTTTTAACTGGAGACAAATAGCTGTAATATTCATATTGACTGCGGTTGCCAACTTTGAAGATGTCGCCATAGTAACTGGGGGGGGGGGGGTAGTTTAAAGTATTTGCTTCAATTTATTACTCATGAACTTCAATGCATTTGTCCCCTCTGCTTCCCAATAGGAGTCTGAGCACTATGGATTATGAATTACAATGAAGCCCATCTCTGTAGTTAGATTCTGAAGGCAATTTGGTGCGTGTTGTTGTGAACGTTAGCATTGAGTGGAGGGGAAGGCGTAATGCTGTAAGCCCCCACTGGGTGTGACTGGGACTAATGACTCCATCCACTCCCTGTGACACTGATGTACTATTACGGGCAACACAGTGCTTAGCCCAGTGGAACCAGGGCTCCCCCAATACATACATCAAAGCCCAGTCGAATAGCTATACAGTACACTCACAACTGCACAATCGCATTCTTATTACCAGCCTCACAATGGAGCGCGATAAGAAAGAGGAATCTCCAATTATTTTGTTGTTGTGAAATGCAGAGGGGATGCAGGTGTATATTTTGAGCCATTGTGTGTCTCTCTATGTGTGTGTCTCTCTCTGTCTCTCTGTCTCTTTCTCTCTCTGTGTCTCTGTCTCTTCCTCACTCTTTCTTTTCCCAAAAAAGATTTGCTGTAAGCTGGCTGCCTGCTGGGCGAGCTATAAATAGCATTGGATTTAAAGGCCTAAAACATGAGGCATGCATCTTCAATAATTAAAAGAACCATCCATTTAATCTGCCACAGTTTAAATCTCATTCACACATCAGAGGCGTTTCATTGAGTAAAACAGTGGACCAGGATCGCCTTAAGTCTGAGCCCGCTGCAGTCTGTTTTAATAGGTCAGGATCACATGACTTCACAACATCCTAGAATCTCTTTGAAAAGACAATGCAGGAGAATAGGAAACAAATCTTATATTTAGATTTTGAAACATCATCTTTCGTTCACTCACATAAATGTAAGAAAAAATGTATTACAAGTTTGTCGTTGTGTAATGTTTTCATATAAAAACAGTCTGTTTGATGTGTAAAAACTGCTTTTGGAACTTTGGGACATTCAAAACAGAAACATGATAAAATCCAATGTCTTTCTTCTTTTTGTTGACATATTGGATACAAAATATATTAGCTACAAATATACAAAAGGGGTTCTGGATATCTTATTTAGTATTTGAGTAAACTAACTTAATGTAACTTAACTAAAATGTGCCTAAAAATTTAAACTTTTATCTCCATTATTTTGAGTTCTTCTGTACATTCTGTCAAAATCTTGTTAAGTACAAGATTGTAAAGTTTGTTGTTTGTAGGAGCTACTTTAAGGGGTGATTCTTATGTCCCTATGGAGGAAAATGTATTTTGAGGAAACGGAGGTCAGAACTCTCTGTCAGAATTTGCCGTTATCTGTTTGATTTGTTTATCTGGTTTATGGTTATATGCAATATGACCATAATAATAGTGTAAGTATTACTGGTCTAGGAAGTGGTGACATTATTCAAACCCAAAGATGCGTCTGCTGTCAGCTGATAAACCACAAATGGAAATCGCTGATCCTTTTTAGTTACAGAATATGTAGGCTTGGGTAGCACTGTTTTCTTTTAGCTCTTAGAAAAGCTGTTGTTCCACATAGATATTTCTATTTCATTTCTTCTTTAACAACTCATGCTAAAAAGTTACTTACATTCTTAGCTTTAAAGGGTCCATATTATGCTATTTTCTGATTGATGTTATGATATCCTTATCAAAAACATACCTGGAGTTGCGTCTTGTTTCATTCATGCATGTTTAACACACAAATCCTGCATAGGTTGAACAGAAAAAAACTCTTTTCTACCTTGTGATGTCATATGGTAATACAAGTCCTCAACTGTGCTTTTAGACTCCATACACCTTCTCTTGAGTCATTTGGATGATTGCAGCCCTGAAATTGCCATTCTCTACTGAAAGGTAAAAGGTAGCTATTAACTTGAAAACTAACACAACATGACATCACAAGGTGGAACAGAGCATTTTGAGCTTTGGAGATGCAGACAGACTGTTCGAATGAAGCAAAACACAATTCCAAGTATGTTTTTGATGAAGTAACAACATTCTAACATGACTAAAAGTTCACAAGAGTCAACTTTGCATAATATAGTACTCTTAATAAACTGTTAATTTAAATGGTCAGTACAGGCCCCCTCTGCAGCAGTAAAACCATCTCCTGAGGATTCCCCCTCTCTGACCCTGTGCTCCTGCTCACCTCTGTCTCACAGGCCATTCTGCACACACAGCTTTATCTGAAATAGGAAATTTGAATGTCAAAGCCTGTTCACTGAAAGGGTCACACTGCTGAAATGCTATTATTACGCTCAGGATTTCAATTAGACTGGATTACTTTATATTGCTGGCCCTCATTTAACGGACTCAGAAATTATCGCAGCAAGTCTATTAAACACGACGCTTTACGAGCTGTTTTGTGACCCCTGTTAAATTCTGTGTGACAGGTTCAAAGTTCCTGTGTGCCACTCACATCATCCCGGTAAAGAACGAGGAGGGCGTGGTCATGATGTTCATCCTTAACTTCGACTACGTCATGGAGGAGGGGAGCAGTGACTCTCTGGAGAGGCTCAACCACACCTCCCCATCCAAAGCTGACCGTAAGTACAGACACAGTTGTATTGCTTTGTCTGGAATGTTCCACAGTATAGATTAAATTTATGGATCACAAGGGAGACATGCAGGTTACAGCACTATATTACATTTCAGATCTGTGGACAGTCCCCCCCTGTTCACAGAAGGAATTACAGTGCCTATGACAGGTTAGACTACTAAAACACAGTTAAGATCATTATATTTAAAATTTGTGTAAAAACATTCACTCTTTTTTCCAGTTTGGCCATTTTTTTGGTTTAAAATTTTACTTCCTGGTTGGAAATCATGACATCGCACTCAGGAATTCCATATTGTTATGTAGCAATACTCCTCTAATATATCCAGTAATTATCTGACTAATACAAATATAAGAAAACACCTTTATTTTGTTGAATTAATGTTTAAAGTATCAAAAAAATAATGTATGTTTTAATTTTGCCAAACTTTTGGACAAAATTCTCCCTAGTGTGACGTCATGAATGTGATTAGAACTTTCTACTTCCTGTAATTCAACTTTTTTCAACTTTTCTCTGCAAATTACTTCTTGATTTTGTGTAAAACTGTAATTTATATTTACTATAGTTATAATCCCACCAAATTAAGTCAAAATCGGACAATCGTAAGAATCTGTCATACTCATTTTAAAGAACAGCAGAGAGGCCAGCGAAGGAAAAGCAGTAATTTAAACGAAGCTGCTCTGACCTTTTCTTTAACCTTTTCCACATCAATTTGAAGTCGGGCCCAATCTGCCGTGTGTGCCTTTTTCTCATAACAAGCCCCCATTATGCTGCACATGCTTCCATCAGCACAAACACTTGCTTTGAGTCCTGCTTAGACATAGTAACATACTTCAGCCCTAAAGCTAGGCCTGTCACGATAATTACTATATAGACTTACCGTTGAAAACATGTCAGATGGAACAATAATTTTTGGGCGTCAGTATATATTATGTCTACCTTTTCTTTGCAGTAGTGGGAAAATGTTGATGATTTGATTACAGGTGTTTATTTTATGTAAATATAGCCATTGTTTTGCTTAATTTGATATTACATTATTTGAAGAAAATTAACCAAACAGTCCTAATATACATATATGGGCGACAGTAGCTCACTTGGTAGAGCGTTTGTCCACTGAGCAGAATTGGATGAGCGATCAGATCCACTGATACACAGGTTGGCAGTGCAATTCTAGCTGTCGTTGTTTCCTTGGGCACTTAACCCATCTCACCTCCAGTGTCTGTGTACACTGGTGTATGAATGTGTTTGTGAATGGGTGAGTGGTTCCTTGATGTAAAGCCTTGTAAAGTGCCTTGAAGGTGGAAAGGCGCGATATAAAAATGTGACCATTGAACACAGTAGCCGAAAAAAAATAAATAAATACACACCAGTCGATCTCTAGTCTTGCTTTTGGCTCTACGCTCTCTGTCACTCCATCTCCTGAGCTCACTTTCCGCTCACACAAAGCGCAAGGCTGCAGCTGTGGAGGAGAATATCGGGAGGACAGATTTTTGGCTTGTTGACATCAGCTTTTAACAGATACTGATTGGTTACTTCAACACTTACTCAAAAGGGCCGGTCCAATTATACCTCAAAGCCTGCCAGCGTGGCCTGAAGAACTGCTGGAGTGTAATGCCATTCTCCATTCTCAGTGTCTGACATATAAAACAGTAGCACAAGGACTAGGGGTCACGTACAATCGCTGTAATTGGATGAGGCCCTAACAGTCTGCCTGCTCTTATAGGCAGTGCACGCTGAGTGTATAAACAACCTCTGTGTCTAAGGTGAACTGGCAAGCGGATTCTTTCGGCTTTAAATTTATTTCAAAATCTAAGTTGTCACGCCAGTCTTTTCACACAGAGTCCTTCTATGAATATATAAACAAGGTCCCTGTAAAACTTTTTTATTGTAGCTTCAATTATTTATTAGTCCTTTTCCATTAGCTTTTTATAATAGCTTTTAAAGCAAGACCCTGAGGTGGCAAATGTTGATTTTTGAATGTGGGTGGTGTTGTCACTATACTAAAATTTTAAACCCTATTTTGAAGTTAAAGGGGCCATATTACGCTGTTTTCTATGTTATACTGTCGTTTCTTCATCACAAACATGCCTGGAGTTGTGTTTTGTTTTATTCACACATGTTTAACTCACAAACCCTACATATTTAGGCTGAATTTTTCTCTCAAACAGAAAACACACCTTCCACCTTGTGATGTCATGTAGTCATACAGGAAGTGCTCCATACACCTTCACTAGAATCATTTGGATGATTTCAGCCCTGGAATGGCCAGTTTCTTCTGAAGTAAATGTAAAATGTATCTGTTAACTTGAAAACCACCACTTCATGACATCACAAGATTTTGAGCATTAGAAATGTAAACAGCCCAGTAATGCAGGATTACTTAAACGTGTGAGAAAGAAACAAAACACAAGGCATGTTTTTGAAGAGGTAATAACATTTTAACATGCCTTAAAGCTCACAAGAGGCAGTTTTGACTAATATAGGACCTTTAAAGGGATATTTTGGAATTTTGGACATAGGGCCTCATTTCCTAGTGAGCCAGAGTTTTGGAGATGAAAATTCCATCCAGTCCTTGTATTTGCAGAGGTCACTGGTACTAGGCTAGCGCATGTCAATGGCCATACTAAGCCTGCCACTAAAAACAGTCTTGCCCACTCCACAAAGCACCCAAAGCAAATCAGTTATTACACCAGACTATCAATGTAAATGTCTGTGCTTACAGAATAATGTTTTAAAATGGGACTATTTTCTCATATATCAGTCCGCCTCTGCCAAGCTTTCTATCAGGGAGTGCAACTCTCTGCTGCTGCTCAGGCATAAATCTTTCAAATGCAAGATTGGTTTTACCTCTAAAATTATTTTATGGACACAGACATTCACATTGACAGTCTGGCGTTATAATTGTTTTGCCTCGGGTGCTTTGTGGAGTAGGTAAGACTGTTTTTAGTGGCTGGTTAACTATGACCATTGACATGCACTAGCCTAGCACCAGCGACCTCTGCAAATACAAGGACTGGATGGAATATTTAAAAAATGTCTCCACACATCTCCAACACTCTAGCTAACTAGGAAATGAGGCTAAATGTCCAAAATTTTGAACAGTCCCTTTAAATACCTTAAGCTAGTAAAGGAAACATTTGTCCTTGATGTTGTTTTGTTTTTTAGCTTTAGAATTTATTAGTATCCGGATATCAACTTTTTGACAATCCTAATTGCATGCAGAACATCTGGTCTAAGCTGGTGATCAATGGGTCCATTATATAGAGCCCTTATGTGCAGCGAGCAGCCATCCATGAGGAGCTTCTATTCATCACATTCTCTATTCGCACGCCAGCCAGTTCTCAACCGTAATATATAAATGTAAACACAATCCATTTATTGGAAAAAGTACAGCTACAAATAAAAACGTCACACTTTCTGACACAGAGTACTCTAAAATAGCTTGATTATCAAAGGTGAAATTAGGGTTGAAGTGCTAATTGGTAGCAACATATTGTTAATGTGTAGACAGTTAGCATATCTAATAAAGCCATAATCAAAAGTTTAACTAGAGTTCATTTCAATACCTGGATCTAAATAAATGTAGAGCAAAGTGGGTATGCAGGTAGGCCTGTCATGATAATTACTATATTTGCCTTATCGTTCAGTATATGAAAGCTACAACAATGTATTTTGGGATTAATATTAATCATTTTCTTTACGCTACTGGGAATTTTATTTGTTACTGGATATACAATAAGATTTAAGCCATAAAATGTTGAATTAATAACTTATGACTCATTACAGATGCAAACAAAGTACTAAAGTGTGTCATTTCGAGTCATTTTAGATTTTTTTTTTTTTACAATATTGTCTCCATGGAGATGTGCCTAGAATGTTCCACAATATGGCCATAAACTTATGAATATCCATGGAGACTTTCAAGACAAATTACAGTTTTGATGTGTGGAGAGGTCTTTTTTTAAGATATTTTGACCACTTAAACACCTGTACAAGACAGGTTAGTTTAATACCATACTGTGGCCAATTTAAACCAAAGCATTAATATTTGCATGGAGACAGGCAGGTTGTGGATCATCTCCAGAAAAGTTACACAATGCACCTGCTACTCTTGGGTTACTGTGTCATTGCTATAAATTACTTTCAATATTATCATTTATCGTCTGTATTTACTTATCGTGACAGGCCTACGTGCAGCAGATTTCATGTTGTTCTCGGAAGCTGTTGAGTAATAGGAGCATTGGGAGCCCAGGTAAACAGTCCTAAAGGTAAAGGCTCACAGAATGCAAATGAGATCCACATTGTTGTAGTGAGTCAGGTCTGTGCACACAAACAAAGAGCTGCAAATAAAAGGACACAATGGTGGCCTTGCTTTAACCAAAGGGATGAGTGTTTTCTCTGCTTTAATTCTCCTGACATCTGATTCATGCCCACGTTACAAAAAGACATTTCCCTTCACAGCACCAGGATCTGAGGGCCCAATTAATATTCAATGCAAATATTGCTATCTGGTATCATAGCAACAAGGGCCAGTGCGCACTGGTCCGCCGGTCGGGCGAGGCTGAGGTTTAGCAGGGAAAGAATGAGAGCTGTTCAGGTAGATACCCCACGACAACAGATCTGCAGGGCTCAGTATCTCTCCACACTTTTCTAAATCACAGACTTAGACTTAGACTCAGACTTAGACAGTCTTTGCTGTATTTTGTTGTTTATTGCTCTTTTGACAGTTTTGTGTTCTGTAAAGCATATTTGAGTGTCCTGAAACGTGTTATATAAATAAAATGTATTATTACATTTTATTGATCCACAAGGGAAATACACAGTAGCTCACAATTCACAATATAATATAAAACAAAGAACAAGATATATTTTCAAAATGTACAGCAAAACTAGCAAGAGACTTGTGTCAAATAAGGTATAATTATATAAATGTATATGTACAAGTAAAAAGAAAATATATAAATAAAGTAGTACAAATATATCAGCTATATACACAGTGCAAAATAGTACACACCTACTTGTCCCCTGCCCACATACTTTAAAGCGTAACTGAATTATGGCCTAATTAAAGGATTTGTGGCTTATATGTTTATCCTCCAGGCTCAGTGATTAGGCTCATGCCTGTGAACACTCGGCTCCATTCATTACATTGATAAGATGTCATTTGAGCAGTCAAACTGTGCAAACGTGCTGCCTTCAGATCTGCTCTAAATGACCAATTAAATCATAATATGTGCTCTGTCAGCAGGAGGCTGGCTTAAACACAGTGACCATTGCATTGTGTCTCAAATGAGTTTCTGTCTCCTCTCTGCTATTCTCATCTGAATAAAACAAGCATCAGCCAGATAAAAATGCACGGTTTGTTCCACCGAGAGTGAGAATTAAATCTATTTTACTCCTTTTGTGTCCAACACTGTGGTGCCGTGCTGCTGTTGTGCACATGAATAGAGCTGTCGAATACAGTGAACTTTCCCTACTCAAAGAAATGAACATAATGCTTCCAGTGCTATTTCATTTTACATGATTTTATTATTCGCACAATCAAGCTTTTGTAAAAACAAGATGTGTTATTTTGAAGAAAGTGTTTAGAGGCTGTCTGACGGTTTGTGTGTGGCATAAGCTTGTCAGTTTGTAATGTTCTCTCTGTTGTAGATGTTCCGCTTAAGGCCCATTAACAGTTATGTGTGCAACATATGGAGAAAACCACCCATTAAAAGCCCATAGATATTCCTATAGAAGTATACGGGCTATAGACCATGTTATTTGGCTCTGTTGTCAGGGATTGTCCTCCTTCATGAATAATTGAAGGAAATTGAAGTTTGAACTAGTGCCTCAGGCAGAACAAGCATTTGTTTTGATCTACATGGCTCTTTTTACAGTAGCTGCATTGGCAGGCTTTTCATCACTGTTGGCAAACAACTATGAGATATTTGCCTCGGTTTTGAGTACTGCAAATCCTGCAAATCTGTTTCAACGCAGCTTGAACACTGAGCATAAACAGGTCAAAGAGGGCTGTAGTAATGAAGCAGACACATGTTTCTGCATTACTCTTAATTCTTATTATTGTATATTGTTCTATTTTCAGGTAAAGGTAGATTCTTCCGTTTCCGTCTGCCGGCGTTACCTCTCCTTGGGATCAGTAAACAGTCCCTTCCCCAGGAGGACCCTGACGCTGTCATGGTGGACTCCCCTCAGCACAGCGATGGCTCCGTGGCAACGCGTGATTACCAGCTTCCTACCACACGAGAGAGCTGTAGTCCATCCTACGCCAATGACACACGTGCCCTCATCGCCCCGAGCCACTGCTCCACCCCTGTGTCTGGGCCTCTGGACCACTCCTCACCCAAGGGCCCCTGGGACCGGATCTACCCCGACCAGGAGGCTCCCACTCAGGCTAACAGTCAGGATGACACCCTGACAGCCGCCCCCTCCATCCCAGGCCTCACCCCCACCGCGTCCAGAGAAAGTGTATGTAGCATACGCCGGGCCTCCTCAGTGCATGACATGGAGGGCTTTGGCTCCAACTCCCACAAGATGGTGTTCAGGGACAGACACGCCAGTGAAGGTACGCCAGCAAGTGCAGTATATTTACATTTCTAAAGAAAAACACTTCATAATTGTAAGGTGTGGTTTATCAGTGTGTGTCAAGTTTATATTTATAACTCTGTGTGTGTAAAGTGATGGGATGTTTGATGTGACATGTCAGTCTCTTAATCAGTGTAATGACCAGTCACAGTTTGTCTCGTGAGCGATCGATCTTCCCCAGAGTCTAAAACGCTCGTTAGCCTCATTTTGTCGAGGGGAGAAGGTGCCAAGACTGTCCTGGTTTTCTCTGGGCCAGTCGCCTCATGAGCAACCCCCTATTTTCATTCAAATGGCTCCCAGTGGCTGACAGTGTAATATGTCTACTTCACTGTAATGAATTGTGCATGGGGACAGCAGCGTGGGTTTAATGCCAAGCCCCATTTGTCATCATAGAAACTCTCCTCTCACCTCCAACCCTTCTCTCTTTCTTCTCTGATGCTGAATACAGACAATGGTCGCAATATCAAAGGTAATTCTAGCCCGTGCATCCCCAGCTTCTATGATCTAGCACGTTTACTGGAAAATATATGTAACATAAAAAACTTGCTTGTTGCATGTTTTTCTCCCACGACGTTGGCCTGCTCTGAATGCAAATGCGTGGATTGACAGTGTGCAGTGGTAGTTGAGCCTTTAGCGGACAGGCTCTAGATGACTCAGTGGGATTCTGGGTGCACATGACCTCCCATGGGCCAGGGGAGAGCCCAGTGACCTCTGCACGTGCTTGCATGTAGCTGCACATCCAGTCGCCTCTGCTTTCACTCATTGAAGAAAATCAATGAGGCTTTACCAGATGATTCCTCCCACTGTCTTAGTCTCTGTTCTCACCGCAAACTTCTGGCCCCGTGGGCCTTGATGTAGTCAACACAAACCTGACTGTTTCTAGTGGGAGTCCTTAACCTTTAATGAGTCGACTTTAAGCTCACACTGCAAAAATAAACTACTAACATTCTGTGTGTTAAAGTGACTTGAATTCATATTATCATGTTTTGAGTAGTATGAACTTGTTTAGATCTATTTGGTGCTTGATATAATTATTTATTAACATTTTTAATTTCATGTTATTTTATTTTTTAATTTATTTTAAAGTTTTTAAGAAAGATTTTACATTTTTGTCTTCTCTCAGTTCATGATTTGTCTATGGATATTTTATTGGGATTTACTCCAGTTTTCTCCTTTCAGAAGACTTATATTTTTTAAACTTTCATTCAAAAACAATAAAACCAGCCAGAAAGTCCATAAATCTAAATCAACAACTGTATATAAATTAAACATGTGGAAAACTACTAAAACAAGGTAAATATTTAGAATTCAAGTTGTTTTAATCCAGGTTGCAGTGTAAATTGTGCATGCGTTTTATAAACTGGTTCCGGTCTAAATTAACATGTCGATTTGACTTGTATTGACAAACCCATAACACAGTGATATAATAATTCTATGATGCTTTTTTCCACAGACATGCCATAGAACAGTTATTTACTCCTGCGCTGTGTTATTTTAAGTGATGTTGTTGATACCCTGACCCTGCAAACAGCCCTCCATAACCCCCTCTCCCCTTTACTCTCTCTCCTCCACCGCTAGTGTCTCGCTCCTGGATGGCTGGCGGTATGGCTTCAGCTTTTCACCATATTTTTTTTTTTCAACTTTTATTTTTATTGTTTTATTTACGACCCCGGTGACTCTACGGCATGAACCAAAGCTGCGCATGCAATCCCTCATCCTCAGCTGTCCGTTTCTTTGTCCTTGACTTTCAATCACTGTACTTTGTGAAAATGGGGAAAACTGCAATAGCTTCCTCTGCTGGTTCACACAGCTGAGCCAGCAAAACCTTTCACTTCAAATCACGTTCATGGGCTACATATCAGTGTGTATTGTTATATACCATTGGTGATTGTTTTTTTATAGTATATATGAGTACAGTGCAAGGCTACATGATGTGCGCTGTCCCTGTACGAAACTATGGACAACAACACTATTTAAGATAAGAATAGCTGAAGATCCTATATTAAGCAAAATTGACTCTTCTGAGCTTTAAGCCATGTTGGAATGTTGTTATCTTCTCAAAACATACCTTTGTGTTTTGTTTTATTCATGTTTTAGTAGCTTTACATCTCCAAATCTGTAGTGATACTTTTCAAGTTAACAGCTATCTTTTTCCTTTAATTCAGTAGAGATTGGCAAGTCCAGGGCTGAAATCATCCAAATGATTCTAGGGAAGGTGTATGGAGTTTAAAAACACAGTGGAGCACTTCCTGTATTACGCATGACATCACAAAGTGGAGCAGAGTGTTTTCTGTTTGAGAGGAGAATTCAGTCTAAATATGCAGGGTTTGTGTGTTAACCATGTGTAAATGAAACAAAACATAACTTCAGGTATGTTTTTGATGAGGAAACAACATTATAACACATATCAGAGAATAATAATAACATGGGCCCTTTAGGACACTACATTTTCTTTCAATTTCTAAATATAGAGAAGTATAGAGATATTATTGCATTGTAGGGATGTAACAATAACTGAAATATTGTGATATCATATCGTCAAAAGTCTCACAATAATGTCGTGGGCTGTCACAATATATTGAATTACAAGTTCCTTTGCTTGAATGCATTGTTTTATAGAAGCAACATCTTATAAACATAGGGAACTTCATATCCCATGATTCATTTCAGTGAAGACAACATGAAGAAATATGTTTTTTACTTGAATTCTTGGGATTATGACGGAGATAATTCACACCAAAATCTTGTCACAGTATTTTTAAAGCAAAAAAGTGTCCTATCTACAATTATATTAGCCTCTCTAAAATATTGCAATAAATATGGTACCGTGAGATGCATATTGTGATAATATTGTACAGAGAGATTTGGATATCGTTACCTCCCTATTGCATTGTCTGGAATGTTGGCAGTTTGGCATTGAACATGTCAGTTTTTCAAGCAAAAACTATCTTGAAAAACATACACTCTTCTTTTACTGTGAGTGGGTTTTCCTCTCCACAGATCTGACCTGTAACTTGGCCTGGTGGTGTCAGCTGTTTTTCTCCATGAAAATCGATATGTTTAATGACGCACTGTGTAATATTTTAGGCAAAGCAGCATCTCCAAGCAGGGGGCAAGCCCTCCACCAGAAAAGTTACATAGTCCACTTTTAAAAACAGCTATTTTAGATTGTATGTATGAGTCAAAAAAATCTACCCAAAATTATTCAAATTCAGGTAAGATTCTGAGTTCAAGCTCTTCTAGCATATGATAGATCTTATAAAACATTACAAGGGCCATTGATCAAATCTGTTATATGTTTTGACTAGGTGTTAAGTTTCTTTCTTTGATTGTAAGTTAGATCATTCCTTTCTTTCACCAACAGTGTTTTCATTATGCTTTAATGAGAAACTTTGAAAAGCCTGTTCATTCTAGACGGGTCAGTCCGAGGTTGTGGAGTTTCGGTATCACGGTGTTGTGTTGTGGTTGAACTCAAAACACAGGGCCACCCCATACTCACAACTCATACAATTAAATGTACTTTATACTTTAAATCTAAATTCTTAAGTTCTTAACATTGTACCTGTGTTTCCAGGTCCTCTCAGTCAAATTAAGTCCAGTTTACTCGGCTCTACATCGGACTCAAACCTCAACAAGTACAGCACCATCAACAAAATACCCCTCATCACACTAAACTTTTCTGAAGCCAACAACGAAAAGAAGTGCCCGTCGCCTCCGTCGTCAGAGAAAACTATAATCGCGCCGAAAGTCAAAGACCGCACGCACAACGTCACCGACAAAGTTACACAGGTAAGACACTAAACATTAAAGATGTAATGCTAATGAACCACCGACTTTTGAATGGTGCACTGCGTAACATTTTTAGTGGAGGATCTCCCTACCTCGTTTGTCTCTATGGAAATGTTATTACTTTGTCTAGAATATTCCACCGTATAGATTAAACAAATCTATCACAAGAGAGACAAGCAGGTTACAGCACTATGCTAAATTACAATTCAGATCTGTGGAGATGCAACCCTAGTCACAGATATAATTATTGTTTTTTTAAGCAATAGAAACACCTGTAATGAATAAATGCCAGATGGATATGTTTAAAGTTATACCATGGAACTTTCCACGGAGGCAAGCAAGTAATGGACCCTCCACCAAAAAAGATGCACAGTGCACCTTTAATATAAACTTTTGAAAGAAACTAATCTTTTTCCTTCTTTTGTGCATTTTTACACTGATTAACTCTGAACCAAAACAATAATCAGCGCACAAGCAGAGCAGGCAATACAAGTGAGAGCTTTGCGCACGAAAAAATATCTTTGGTATCATAATAACAGTTTTTAAAATTATTATTATTATTATTTTAGTACGATTTCTTAGTTTGTTGTTAAATGCGTTCTCACATTAGCTTCTGTGACTTATAAATAAATAGTAAACAAGCCAGTCTTTTGTCCCATAAAAGTCCCATACAAGAGCTGAAAGTCTCATCTCTGTTAAACATACAAGGAGCACGTGTCAAAACCCTCAGTGTACCCAAGGTAATTAGTGCAAACTCAAGGGCTGGATACGTAAAACTAGGTGTCTATCACTGTCAGGATACTCTTACGGCTGCCAGACAACATCCAGGGCGCAGGACACATTTCTAAGGTTACAGACAAGGTTAAAGGTTATTCTCACCTTCCCTTGTCAAGCTCAGAGAGAGAGAGAAAGAGAGGGGAAACAACCATTGGGTCTCACTTTTGCATTTCGCCCCCTTAATGGTGTAATGGATAGAGGCCATCGAAACTGACCCCGGTTCAAAGTCAAAGAGAAGGAAGGGGACACAGGCAGGATTACAGTTTATTTATAAAGAGAAATACTGCTATATAAACGCAGGAAGGAAGATAGGACATTATGCGTTATCATGATCTGTATCAAGTAGCATACACATAGCTGCTTATTTCAGTATTTCATGTTTTAACAATGTTACTGTTACTGTTATCAGCTCTGATCAAAGATTGATTGAACTAACGGATGATTTAGGATTAGGTGAAGCAATTAATGTGATTATTTTCTGGCCATGGTTCATGAGAATTTAAAGTTTATTTACTATATAATGCTGTCTCAAAGTTGCTTGAAGATAAAATTGCTAGGGCTGGACAAACTCACAAGAGATATTAAACTTGTGAATCATAGGTGCAATCTTCTTTTTTGCATATAAATACTAAAAAATACTAAATCTTTAGCTAACTCACTCACTTGCTCCTTTCTAATCTTGTCCCATAAAAATTCTAGTAAAATTAACAACAAATACAAATTTTGGTTGACTAAGACACCATCACCTGACTAATCAATTAAACGCTAAAGACCTACAGCTCTAAAAAAAAAAATAGTTACATCAATACTTGAAGCCAGTGTACTGATATCAGAACTGAAAATCATTGATGCGTCAGCCTCTGTAACTGCATAGTCAATATATTCATTGCTGTGTGGACTACATGCTGTTAGTCTGAGTTTTGTCATTTTCCACACTTTGGATGTTGTGAAAAGCCCTCCAGACACCTGCCAGTGAGGGCCACAAAGCTGTAGCAGATGTCTGGTGTCTATCTCAGGGCTCCTTTGAGTTCATTTGAAGGCTCCATCAAGGCACCGGAGCAGACACGTCCTCTGCTGTCCCTGGCAACTGCTCAGAACCACGGGCAGATGGAGACTTGGACCACAAGAAAGAAGACACATACACACACACACACATACACAAGCATTCGACTGGTCCCTCTATTATTATGAGAAAACACTGAGGCAGACACAGAGAATTAAGGAGCATAATTTACACAGACAAGAAATTACACTTCGCTCTTTTGTTCGGACCAGAGAGAATTAGAAGCACGACAAAGGCCATTTTTGATTCGCTGCTTTTGGAGGCAGTCCAAGCTGCCTCCATTATCCCACATGAGATTTCATTTGCACCATGCGCGTAGCTACAGTAGGTAGATTAAATAATTAAGTTACAATCTTTTATTTAGCACGAGATTGGCTCCAACATGCTAATCCAGAATTACCTTTGCAGCCGGTGGACGCTTGTTGGTTTTCTAACAGGCCAGAACTCTGTGTAAAAACAAACTGATTTTGACACTGAAATAAATTACTTTAACACGCAGCGTATGTTCAGCCTAACTACGCAATTACTAGGACTTTGCTGAAACACGTATTTGCGATCCCAGTTTGGCAGCATGATGAATAATAGAACAGATTCTCTTTGCTTTCTGATCGATTTCAAAGGTTATTTCATATCAGAAGGTGAAAGCTTTTGACCCCAGCTGGTGTGGAGGTAGCCTGTTTCTGATAACCAGTTCAGCTATTAAGACTTGGATCTTTATGTCTTTTCAGTAGTAGTGCTGATGGAGGTGACGCGAGTTCAGAAAGTTCATTTGAAATTGTTTATTGGTGCAGAAAAAAAAAATCTATTTAAAGCTCCATTCTCGTTGCTAATAGTAACTCTGCCCTCTGTAAAATCCAGCTACGTCTTTGCTTTCTCATAACCAAAATAATAAGAGAGATTTGCACTATGATCCAGAAAGTCCTGACCACCGGGTTGTCAGACACTTGGATGAGAAGCAGTATCCTCGGCCCAGGTCTATAATTACCCATAAGTCATTGAGAAGCTGCTCCCAAATGAGGCATAACACGGCGGTAATATTGATGTTAAAAGCTATTCAGGTATATATGGGAAGTGCACGAGATAATGATAATGACATTCTGTCTTCCAGGAAAACATTACAGTGCAAAACAATGTTATGATCAAATGGCAGTTGCCCTCTCCAGTAGTTTTCTTTCAGATTTATTCCTGATTTATGTTACAACTTTCCAGACATTAGTTTCAAAGGTTATACTGTAGGATGATTTTAATAGTCTCAAGCGTATTGCTATAAATGTTGAATCTATCAAGGTTGCACAAGGATCAGCTCTCGAATATATGTTTGAATAACCAGAAAGAAAATCAAATTTAATTAAACCTAAGGCAACACATGATTTGTTAATATGCATTTTTTTATTCTTAGGCTAATATGCTAGATCAGTTTAAAGGTTATTATTATTAGAACCAATATTACTCTATTTTCTGCTCTATATTATAACATTGTTTCCTCATCATAAACATACCTGGAGTTGTGCTTTGTTTCCACTTTGTGATCCCATGTGATAATACTCCATACACCTTCATTAGAATCATTTGGATAATTTTAGCCCTGGAATTGCCGATCACTACTGGACTAAAGGTAAAAGTCAAATTTACTCAAACATGTGTGAATGAAACAAAGCACAACTCCATGTCTTAAATCTCACAAGAGTCAATTATGTGTAATAATGGGCCTTCAATGAAAAATGTTGGCAAACATACTTCTTTCTTTCTTTTAGCCCTCTGTTGTTTTGTCTTCCAGGTCCTGTCTCTGGGTGCTGATGTCCTGCCTGAGTACAAACTACAAACCCCTCGTATCCACAGATGGACCATTCTTCACTACAGCCCGTTCAAAGCTGTGTGGGACTGGCTCATCCTTCTTTTGGTCATCTACACAGCCATCTTTACTCCATACTCGGCAGCGTTCCTCCTTAATGACATAGAGGAGCAGAAACGTCGTGAGTGCGGATACTCTTGCTCCCCCCTTAACGTGGTGGACCTCATGGTGGACATCATGTTCATAGTGGACATCCTCATAAACTTCAGGACCACTTATGTCAACTCCAATGAGGAGGTTGTAAGTCACCCGGCGAAGATTGCAATACACTATTTCAAAGGCTGGTTCCTTATAGACATGGTGGCGGCCATACCGTTTGATCTACTCATCTTTGGGTCTGGATCAGATGAGGTAAGGTGGAAACTCTACTTTTATTGTTGTAATTGTAAATAATAACAATTCTATCTGATATATAGAAAATATTTTGTTCCAGATACTAAAAGTCACTTCACATTCGATATTCCTTCTTCTTCTTCTTCCTTCTCCATCTGTCTCCTATTCACTCATAGTACTCACTTACACTTGGGTAAAGTGAATTGTCTTGCCCATGGACCCAACAACAAGGCGTAGTGGTTGGAGCTGGGATTGAACTGTCAACCAACCAATTATAAGAAAATCACTGTACCACCTTGCCCCTATTTAAATGGCCCATCAAAAACAAAAACAAACCAGGAGTTGTGTTTTCATTCACACATGTTTAACACAGAAATCCGGCAATTTTGTGTCATAAAACACCTTTAAGTAAAGACATTTTCATGCCTAAGCATAGCATCTGACATTACATTACACACAGTGGATGCTGAAAAGGTTACCAAGATGTAGATTTCACAGATTACTTATTGAAAAAAATGGGTGATTTTTGTCGGTTCAGCAGTATATTAAATGTCTCTCTCACTGGTGGTAGCGCATTTTCTTTGTTGCTCTTTTGGAGACAGAGAAAGCAGATTTGTCGATATAAAATCTTGTTGTTTGCTAATAGTATGTGCTACTACAGCCTGGAGCAGTCCATGTTTACAAGCTGTTTTCTTGGATCCATGAACTTCGCTTATCTGACGAATGACTGTCACATCTGCTTTGCCTTGATCTCTTTTCATCTGAGCCAGACTGAGTGGCCCCGGGCTATTCAAATCACTCCAAAAGGTCTCCGCTTCCCCAGCCATTTTGCCTGACTACTTACGCTGCACACACCAATCAGAGCTGTTTTAGAATGAAAGGAAGCTGTTTACGAGGTGCAGTTAAAGTGAACTAATGATCATGTTAGTAAGATGATGTACCACACTGAGAGGCCTTGTAGTGTTGGTGCCTGGGGGTGGTTGTTGAAAAATGGATACTTAGTAACTAAAATTATGTTGAAACAAGTTACTCATTTGAACATGAATCAAGACAAGAAAATAACATAAATTTGAAAAAATATGACCTTTCCCTCAAGGGACTAGATGTAGCCTGGAGTCTTGAGGTTTTTTAATCACAAATGTTGATTATTTTTTTACAGTTATGCTTGCAGGTGGACACTGACTTATATCTGTGTGAAAGGAGGAGCTAACTATACAGTGGGTACTGGGTTTAGATGGTGATGTATCAGGTCCTTTTATGTTTGATGAATACTGAAATCCAGTTGGTTTAAACCTAAATGTCTCACAGATCTTACTCCTCATTATCTAAACTCCACCACCTGCAATCATGAATCAGTGCTAGTGCAGCCTCTGTAGCTCAGTGAAGAACTCCTGGAGGTGTTGAGCTTTTGCATAAACCGTGTCCTTTCATTTAACCGAGAAGAACTCCATCTGCAGGCTAAGGCACGGGTAACTCAGGTTGTTGTGACTGTAGTTTATATAACTATAGAAAGGTCTGGATCTCTATTCGCCTGATAAATAAACTACTATTATTTTATGTTAAACTTCAAAAAAACATATTTATTGTCATTGTGGTATCAAAATCAGAACTGACTATTGAGCCTTTTTCCCTAACTGCGCAACTTTTCTGGTTGAGTGTCTGCTACCTACTTGTCTGATTTCCCTGAAAAGTTCCATGGTATGACATTAAACATATACACCAGCATTTATTCAATACAGGTGTTTCTATTGCTCAAAAATACAATAATTCCCTCTGTGAATAGGGGCGACTCTCCACAGATCTGAATTGTAATGTAGTGCAGTGCTGTAACCTGCTTGTCTCCCTCATGATAGTTTTAATCTATACTGTGGAACATTCTAGACAAAGCAATAACATTTCTATGTAGACAAGCAGGTGGCGGACCTTCCATGAAAAATGTTACGCAGTGCACCTTTAATATTAAAATGTTGCTGGGCATTTCAGTACCGTGACACCCTTGTGCTGCCCAGGTTTGCAGAGTCATTATTTACTATTAGGTGTGCCGTGTGAGTGCCTGGGTGGTTGCGGGCAGGCGCTGAGTGGCAGGTGCAGAGGCAGAGTCGACAGTTGAGCGATGCTTCGGCACAATGTATGCCCCTGTCACCCAACCAGATGACTGCAGCCCTGACAGGATTTGTGTTCGGTTACAGCTCGTGTCCAAACTACACTGTGTTAGGATGAACACACTGACAAAATCACTCTATTTTTAGCTCTCCCCAATTACTGTTGTGCATCTCAAAATAACACTCAAGTACATTTTTAGCGCTTGTCTGTGCACGCTGTTTTAACTCAAAAGTACAGAGACAGCTGCTATTTTTAGGCATCGCCGTGTGCACCTTTGTTGCCTGGAAACCATCTTCCACAATATGTTTCGTTTTTGTGCTGATGTCGTCAGAAATGTGGCAGGTTAAGATAAGATTAGTTAATTAGGGTTGAATTTCTTTTTTTCTTTCCATTTAAAGGAAACACGGAATCACTTAAAGGTGCACTATAACTTCTCTATTGAAGGGTCCGCCACATGCTTGTCTCCATGGAGATATTATTGTTTTGCCTTGATTATTCCACAGTACGGAAATACAATTGGTAAGAGACAGGTTAATAGTCAGATCTATGGAGAAGCAAGCCTGCGCATGGTAAGATTCCATGTTTTTAAGGTATTTTTGAGCTATAAAACACATGTAATTGAACAAATGCATGGAAGATATGTTTAATGCCTTACAGTTTAAAAAAGAAATACCATCTCCATGGAGAAAAAAACAAGTAGTGGACCCTGTACCTTAGAAGTTATATAGTGCACCTTTAAATTCAATAATCATTGTCAATATGTCATTTTGATATGAGTATGCTATAATGTTAATACTAACTATTCTCGAAAGTAGAGGCTCATTTGTCAATACTGAAAAAAACACCAAACAAAATGAGACATCCCCTCAATATTCTAGAGTGGTTTAGATAAGGCAGGTAAGATTTAAAAAAAAAAGTACATATATATATATATATATATATATATATATATATTTATGAAATGTCCCGGTATGACATGAAACGTATCAATCTTGCATTTACTCAATAATGTGGGTTTTTATTGACTTAAAAACTTGCATTCTTACTGTGAGTGGGCTCGCCTCTCCACAGATCAGACATCTAACTTGGCCCTATGGCATCACCTGGTGTCTCTGTAGAGATAAAAAAGGTGTAATGCCACACTGTGGAACATTCCGGGCAACACCTTCAGCCTCCACCATACAAGCTGCTGCTGAAGGGAATATTAGATATGCAGTTTTAATACTTTGATCCAAATTGAAACAGATGTATTCAGACTATTTTCCATAACATTCAAATACAGTGTGATTTGTAGGTTTGAAAATTGCACTTTACTTTGCCTGTTGTTCAAACTACTCGTGCTTGCGGCTTCACTGGCTGCTTTCATTGTAACAAGCAGCCCCCTCAGTCTCACTTCAGCTCTCCTCAAAGCATACGGAGTACTGAATAACATTTACTGAGGCGACGTGTCTACTGATAGCATGTTGTGTATTATTTAGTTGTGTGTTTTGCCTTAAAGCACTTTGAATCGCTGGACTTTCGCTTACTAAATATTTCTCAACTCTTGTCTATTGTGAATGAAAACAGCAATAGCAAACACAGAAATAATGAAAGGTCCTATATTACAAAAAAATGATTCTTTTGAGCTTTAAGTCATGTTAGACTGTTGTTATGTCCTCAAAAGCAGACCCAGATTGGTGTTTTGTTTCATTCATTGATCACATTTGAGCATTCCTTTATTATTGGTCTGTCTACATCCCCAAAGCTACAAATGCTCCACCATAACAATTGGTGATTCCAGGGCTGAAATGATCCAAATGATTCTAGTGAAGGTGCCTGGAGTTTAAAAACACAAAGGAGAACTTCCTGCCTTACCACATGCCTTACCACATGACATTACAAAGTGTTTTTTGTTTGAGAGAAGAACTAAATATAGAGTATTTGAGTTCAGATTAATAATTTTGATATGAGTATGCTATAATATGAATCCATACTAAAACTATTATCGAAACTAGGTGGTAGTTCAGAGTGACTCAGTGTGGTCAAGTGGTCTGCAGTTGTGTTGATCGACATCTGCATGGTTCAAAGTGGCGAGTGGATAATTTAAGCCTCGTCTGTTTCTATATATAATTCATCTTCTTTTGCTTCTTGCTTGTCAGCGAAAGGGCGAAACTGACCAGACGCAGTGGAGTGAATGATGGCAGTTATTTAGGAGCGGAGTTTGGGAGGATGCAGGCTTTTTAATGGACCCATCAAACAAGGCTACAACACTTCCTCACCATGACGGATAACAGCCTAGCAACCTCCTCTTTCAATTCTCAAATCCAATATCTTATTTACTATGTTTACGTTTACTACACCTACACAAATGTTGTTATCAAGCACATGCGAAGCTGCTTTTACTGAAGGAGGGAGCGAGTAATGATTTCCCTAAGGATATTAGGGGTAATTGTCTCACACAATAGGGAGTGGAAAGATCTATTAGCATTTTTCAGATGCAAGTTATTTTGTTTACAAATTGTACAATGCTAAATAGATCAGTCATGTTTGTATATTGGCCCCATCTAACCTTCTGTGTAATATGAGGAATAAAAAACGTGTTGTGTAAACAGATTTTTTACGCAAGCTCCTATCTGTTTGTCGGTGTGTGTTTATACCAGTGGGGAAGAAGTACTACTTTGTTAGTTAGGTAAAAATACAGATACTGAAGCACATGATCTCTCAAGTAAAAATAAGTAAGTATCACATGAAAAAATCTACTTGTAAAAATGGACTTAAAGAGTAAAAAGTAAAAGTATTTCACATAAATTATAAAGCTCCAAATGTAGTGATTTTGATACAGATTTGTGCTGAATTTTGTTCAAAATGAACAATTGAAGAAATATTTTTTCTTTTGCAGCAGGTCTCACACAATAATATAAAGTAAAGTAAAATACTTTTACTTTTCAGTTCTGTTCAAAAATCTAGAGGAGTGGAAAGTACAGTTATTGTTTTTTTTTTTTTACTGAAGTACAGAACTATACTACTTTTACTCTGTTACATTCCCCCACAGATTTAGAGACACTGCTTAGATGCTTGTCCTGTTTTGTTTTTCCAGTCCTTTACAAAGTGATGTATTTTTGGTACTACTGTTGTTATAATCACTGCCTGTTTTTCCAAAAATGATTCAACAATCAGCCAGCGAATGATTCACTAAGTTGGCCACCTTATCTCTCTCTCACTGAACTGATAGCACCAGCGTTCCCAAATGGACCTTTTTCATCATTGGTAGTCACAACCAGCTACAGCACTGAGTCAGTCGAGTTGTTTTGACATTGAAGCATGCTCGGTCCTTGAAAGATGTTTGTGCAAGTAGGATGACCCATTGGCCTATGATTGAAGCACTTGGAGCTACAAACCCCACAAAGTGAATAATCTCAGTGTAATACTTGTAACCCTGACCCTGAATACTGTCCCACAACTCAATTGTATGGGTACATTTCAAGCAGGAAAGCAGAAATATAGACCACATTTCAACTTAAAGGTGATTTTTTTTTTCAACTAACACACATCCATACCACTACACACACGCACACACACACACCACACTTGAATATTCAAGACTGGATCATCAATACCGCCCTACTGCTCGCTTCCCTTTCCGCCTTGGCTTTTTTTTTTCTTTTTCTTCACTACCACATGAAGTATCTGAAGTACATGATGTACTGTATTTACAATCTTAATATAATCTCTATAATTAAATGTCACCTTTAATTAAATCAACTTTCTATAATTTAATTACTGATGTATTATTATTACTCTTATGTATAATTGTTGCTACAGAAAAATTTATTTCCTAGTATTAAACTTGTGCCTATTTTACTCTGCAAAAAAATATACACTCTTACTGTGAGTGGGGTGCCTCTCCACAGATCTGACTTGTAACTTGGCCTGTTGGTGCCACCTGCTTTTGTTGACCTTTATTTAACATTCTACAATAATTTCTGTATCTGTTTCCCTAGACGACTACTCTGATTGGTTTGCTAAAGACGGCACGACTCCTGCGGCTGGTACGTGTGGCTCGCAAACTGGACCGATATTCAGAGTACGGTGCTGCTGTGCTCATGCTGCTCATGTGCATCTTCGCTCTCATTGCTCACTGGCTAGCCTGCATCTGGTACGCCATCGGCAACGTGGAGAAACCTTACTTAGAGCATAAAATTGGATGGTTGGACAACTTGGGCGTGTCTATTGGTGAGTCCGTGTTTTATTCAAGAGTAAGAGTGGGTGTAAATGCTAGAAGAATGGGTTTGTAATAATAATTATGAAAGGTTCTATATGCAAAATTACGTGAGCTTTTAGCCATGTGATAATGTTGTTACCTCCTCCTCAAAAACATAAACAAACAGAGTTGTATGTTGTTTCATTCATTTTTGTGTCGTCCTTTATTATTAGTCTGTCTACATCTCCAAAGCTCTGAATACTCTGTTCCACCTTGTGATGTCATGAAGTGGTAGTTTTCAAGTTGACAACTACAGTTTACCTTTTGTTCAGTGGGGCTTGGCAAGTCCAGGGCTGAAATTATTCAAATGATTCTAGTGAAGATGTATGGAGTCTAAAAACACAGTGGAGCACTTCCTGTATTACACCTGACATCACAAGGTGAAACAGAGTGTTTTCTGTTTGAGAGAAGAACTCAGCCTAATTATGCAGGGTTTGTGTGTTAAACAATTGTGACTGAAACAAAACAAAAGTCTGGGTATACTTTTGATGAGGAAACAACATTATAACATAGATTAGTAAACAGTGTAATATGGGCCCTTTAATGTTTTGTAATTCAGTTGTATGTGAATAGAGGAATAATTGTAATAATGACTCATCATTGACTAATTGAACAGCTCCACCTCAAAACAACCCTGCAAATCTTAAATCTTGAATACGACTGTTTGCCAGCTAGCTCTGTTAAAAAGCTGTGAAAGTGAGTATTGCTCTAAAATTGTATGTTTATGTTGCAAAGGTAAAAAATACAACTACAGTGACCCCGGCTCGGGCCCGTCCATCAAAGACAAGTACGTCACAGCGCTGTATTTCACCTTCAGTAGTCTAACCAGCGTGGGCTTCGGAAACGTCTCCCCAAACACCAACTCGGAAAAGATCTTCTCCATCTGTGTCATGCTCATTGGATGTGAGTGACAGGCCAGTTATGAACCACACTATTTCACTCTTTGTTTATTTATGCCAATTTCAAGGGCAATTTTGTGAGTTGATCATGTTTAGGGTGGCGAAAATGCATATCTAAAAGTCTTTCATATGATTTCCTGCAGCTTTAATGTACGCTAGCATCTTTGGAAATGTGTCAGCCATCATCCAGAGGTTATACTCGGGGACTGCCAGGTATCACCTCCAGATGCTTCGAGTCAAAGAGTTCATTCGCTTCCACCAGATCCCCAACCCCCTGAGGCAGAGACTGGAGGAGTACTTCCAGCACGCGTGGACCTACACCAATGGCATCGACATGAATATGGTGTGTGTCCCAGCTGTTTTAAAGTGCTATAGTACTATTCTACCTGATCTGTGTGCTATCTGTATCATTTCTGCTTTTGATTTCTGATTATCTTGTCCCCTATAATGCTCTTACCACAACTACATCATGAAGCTCTTCTGTAGGCATAGTATAATGTTCTATGTGATTGTACTTTGCCAGAGTTAAAGTCAAAGTTACTCTCTAACTCTGGCTGCGCCTGTCCTGATTTTGTCCATGGTACTTATATAAGTTTGTCTTTTCCATGTCTGCCTCATGTCCAATGGATTGACTCACCACTCTGGTAAGAGCAGGAGGTACAAGTGTTCACAGTACACGTCATCATCATCTGCTGTGCTACATTACGATAGTGTTATGCTATAGTTTTAATGTACACTAAAAACTCCCAAAGCCCAGTGTCTTATGCATGTGAATGAAGGGCATGCTCCCCTATGCCCCAGTGGTATGAAAATAACATTATGTAAATGGTTCCTGTGGTGCCACTTTATGAATGAGTTCCCCTTCTTGTGCATGCCAATAAATACAGAATACACAAACAACAGAGGCTTCCCTCCAGGCCACACTTGTGTATGACTGATAGACCAGTGTGTGCTGTGCCTCTGGGTCCTTTTGCATGAGATGAGTGTGTTTAAGCACAGGCCCTGATCTGTGTGGTAGAGAGTGAATCACGCCCGCGCGAGTGGGCAGCCATGCCGGGCAGTGCCAGCTTTTCCTCCCTCTGTGGGAGTCTTGGCTGCTGCCTCAGCGACGGCACCTGTGCTTGCCAAATGTTGTTCAGTCTTTCCTTTCCAAATCTCCTGATCAGTTTTTGTTCTGAGAAACAAAGAGCCTGTCAAAGCCCAAACCAGTTCACACTGCACTTCTGCTGTGAACTATTGTGGAAACGCAGGATGTGTTTTCTTGTTTCAATGTCCCGTGTGTTTTGAGCCCCTCTCCTGTCTCTAGTGTGTAACATTATTCTGTCCAATATCCAAAATGTCCTGATCTACAGTCCACAGAGCACTCATTTTGTCAGTGGTCATTGTATCTTTGTCTCAGAAGGGTAAGTTTTTAACAGTCTTTACTTTTGATGTTTGATGTTCAAGCTGTGACAAAGAGCATGTTCAATGCAACAGAAAAGTAGGTAACTCCTACAGTTTGCACCACTGTTTGAGTGTGCTGTCCTGTTTCCTATATGTTGTGTCTTTCACTGTAAAAGAAAGTATCAGAAGCATTGACTTCAGTTTGTTCAGACGCTGCAGATTATTTCTGCTACAGAAGGTTTTGAGAAGAAGGAAAGAACACACGTGGCAATCGTTTGACTAATGTGACTGTAAATGTGAAGTGCATCTTGAGCTCAGGCCAAAGCTGACACATACAGTACACAGTAGTACCATAGGGACCCTCTCATTCACTGTGCACGTGTCTGCTGCAGGTCTTAAAGGGGTTTCCTGAGTGCCTGCAGGCAGATATCTGCCTCCACCTAAACAAGACCCTGCTCCATGACTGTAAGGCCTTCCGCGGAGCATCCAAAGGCTGTCTGCGCGCTCTGGCCATGAGGTTCAAGACCACCCACGCCCCACCGGGAGACACCCTGGTCCACAGCGGAGACGTGCTCACAGCGCTTTATTTTGTGTCCCGCGGCTCCATTGAGATCCTCAAAGAAGATGTGGTAGTGGCCATATTGGGTGGGTATAACAAGGCATTTGAGGTCTTAATTATTATTAGTGGGTACATATTGTGTAGATGTAAAGGTGTTTACAGGAAAGAAAACACTTCCTAACATGGTTCCCTGTGTTTCTGGTTAGTTCAGTGTCTTGTACAGTTAAAAGGATTCTTTAAACAGTCTCACAGAGGCTGATAGTGTAGTCATTAAAGCCTGGTTAGAGCAGACACGGGTGGGCTCGCTAAATGAAGGAGCCTGTGTTCTGCTTTGTCATGGCTGGGCTGGCAGCTGAGAGCCCTGTTGGGTGTGTTGTAATAACTAACTTCAAATATCAATGTGATCGCTGCTGCCTCACAGTCGTACTCCACATAAAAGACTGGCTCATGGAGACAGAGGAGAAGTTCTACTGAGAAGAGACTATGGGGTTAAGCTGGTGGGCCACAGCAGCCAATTTTATCTTAATATTATTTAGTCATATTATTATGAAATAGATATTTTTTTTATTCAGTATTATGCTAAATATTTCACATATTATAAAAACACAGTGTAAACACTGGAATTATTATATATTCTTTATTTTAATACTGTTTTTATTCCCAAGGTAAAATATATGGGATTTTTTATTTTTTCATTTCTGTACAGTTGCCCGAATATTTCATTTAGCATATCTCTTGTATTCTGCTGCCCTGGCCTTGGACCCATAACGCCAAACTGAGCATGATAAACCCTGCGGCTGTCATTGTAGGTCATTTGTGAGTAAAGAGGGCCGGTGGACTGGGTAACTTCCATGTGACCAGCTTTGTGTGAATCCAGTGTTTTCAGACGATGGAGTTATCCTCTGGGCTTTTTCACATCGTCACGCTTCCTGCCAGGTGGCCTCCTTCTTTATAGGTCACCGTATACTGTACTACACACTGTCCAATCCTCCTCATAGTTAAATTAACATTCATACTATTTTATCTTCACTGACTGTCCTGGAATACCCCTAACTTTAAATCTAAAGAAATTAGAAAAAATATTGGATTACTGGCAAGGATTGTAGTTGCAATAAAATGTGTAATTTTCTTATAAAATATAAATTCTGCTCAGGATATAAACATTTCAGAGAAGGTTGAAAAATGAATTCCTAAACAACTTGTGATGTCATGTATTAATACAGAATGTTTTCCACAGTGTTTTTAAATCTTCACTAGAATCATTTGGCTAATTTCAGACCTGGGAAATCCTATCTCTACTGAACTAAAGGTAAAAGGAGCTGTTACCTTGAAAACTACCACTACATGACATCTCAAGGTGGAACAGAGCACTTTGAACTTTGGAGATGTAGACAGACTAATGATAAAGAATTACTCAGACATGCGTGAATGAGACAAAACACAACTCCAGGTCTGTTTTTGAGGAGGTAACAGCATTATATAACATGGTTTAAAGCTCACAAGTGTCAGTTTTTTTTCATAATATCTTACCTTTAATTAATATTCATATTCGTTTGTCTTCACTGACGGTCCTGTGATTAATCTTGCAATGCTAATTAACAGTTCATTAACAAAATAGATGAGCCAAGCAAATAATAAATCACCTTCAATTTCTTTTAGGTAAGAATGACATTTTCGGAGAGATGATCCACCTGTTTGCCAAACCGGGAAAATCCTGTGCCGATGTGCGTGCGCTCAGCTACTGCGACCTTCACACCATCCAGAGGGAGGAGATCCTGGAGGTGCTGGACATGTACCCAGAGTTTGCTGACCACTTTTTCACCAATCTGGAGCTGACCTTTGACCTTCGAGATGAAAATGCTAAAGTAATCACTATCTCCAGCTATTTATATTCATGTTATATGTGTGTTCAGTCGACTAACAGTGATGGGAAGAATAGTATTTAGTTACAGAATACTGAACATCTGATTTAACATATCCTGATATATGGTTCAAGCTCCAAAGTGCTGCATTACTTTTACATCAAGTTGCATTTAAATTTGCATTAAAAGCAGCTTTATATTTGTTTCACTGTTTTAAGCATTTCCTGTCACTAACAGGAGATGGAAAAATCACACATGCGCTCACCACAAGAAGTTTTTCATATTTTTTTCATTAGTTATGTGCAGTTTGAAGCCTAAATTGTGCGATCATATCCCGCAATGTAATCCTTTGATTTGAGAAAAGTCACTGCATTCTGAATACCACCAAACCTTGTGTACCGATTATCTTAAATTAAATTACTAGTCCTCACACTATTCCTTTTCCGTTTAGCTGGTCTTATTCAGTCAATGTGCTGCGTTTACCAGTAAGTGCGTAAAGCATAATGATAAGTTTAACATTGTCCTGTTATTTGCCGGAAGACGGGTAAAAGCTGGTGTATGTCGAGCACTTAGAACAGAAGGATGCTGTCACATCATCTGTGCAGTGGACATATGTGCAAGGCCTGTGGCAGCACATGTCTCTGTCTATAAAAAGTGTTCTCTGTTGTGTTCTATTTGGCACACTGTAAAGATTAGAATGACAAACAGAGGGACGTGTATGAGACACAGTGGTGGAGTTACATAAAACCAAAAGAGAAGCTGGAACAGGGTTGTTGTCTTTGCACAGTGTGTTGTGTTCTGTTCTGTGCAGAGTGGTGATCGTTCTTCTCCTTCACTTTCAGACTTACCCTAAGCGCAGCAGCACAGATGAAATCAGGTGTCGGCGGCGGGTGTCATATAGAAGGAAGTTTTCTACAGGTCTGACACAAACCGAGATTTATTACCTTTTTAAAAGGTTGAATATATTTTGTTTCATTTATTATTTACAACATATGACATAGTGTAAAATACATTGCATCTTAAAATCTGTCTTAAGCCCTGCCCCACATTCTCTTGCCCCTGTTTAAAGTAGTGCCTGTTCTGAGGTGTATTAGAGCATCCCTCACACCTGACTGTCTCCACGCACATATACACAGAGAGGCCTGCCCCCAGAGCAGAGCTGTGCCAATGACACAAGGAGCCGTTTGGACCACAGAGCAGTGCACTGTGGGAGCTTTTGTAATTTGACTTCTAACAGCCAGGAGCCTTGGGACGGGATGTAGCGCCACTGCACAGCAGTACTCAGCAGTTTGGCTTCGATTTAGGCAAATCTAATTGGTCACCATGGTTACAGGGCCTCTGAGCACATTTCCCAATAAAACACAAGAAGAACAGAGGATGTACCTCTCACTCTATCTCAGTTCTGCAGCTGGCACCACCTGCCATGTGTCACTGAGCTTTTTGTGTCATTCAAGAGAAAAGCAGAGCTACTGTATGTTCAGTGACACAGCATAGACCCATCAGCTGTTTACAATCTAAGCCATGTTTAAATGTGTCTTTGACTCTGTTTGTCCTCACTTCACCCTAAAGCTAAACACAGCCTACCTGTTGTCAACAATAATGAGCCAGCCCAGCGTCCCAAAGGAAGTGAAGCAGGAGCAGTGTTCCCCTGCTCGGCCTCATTACCATGTCTCCCACAGGCTCCAACAACAAGATGCCAGTGGACACATACTGTGGCGGCCGGCATCAGCGCCACATGTACACCTCATCGGCTACGGACGACAGAGGAGAATCTGCGGAGGAGGGGGAGGAGGAAGAGGAGGAGGAGGAAGAGGAGGAGCAGCGACCTCTCTGTTCAGGGGTGCTGGGTTACCCTGTGGTCCGGGACCACCCTGTGGGGCTGGGACTTAGCGCTGCAGCAGGCGAGACTGGAGGCACTACCCAGGGCCAACCTTTTAAAGGTGAACATAATACACATCCACTGTCATTATTTAAAAGTGTATTTGAGTTTAGATTCATACTTCTAGATGTACAACAAACAAAGTAGCGATGGATCCCCAGAGACCCCTAAGCCCCCAAGAGCAAAGTCACACCTATTAAAAATCAAACGAGGCTTATGTGTAATAGGGATACAACCCTAAACCCACAGCAATGAAATGTAAGAGGATTATGTGGAGCAGCTGGGGTCACCCCTTGGATCGTAGGTCACGACCAAACCAGGGATCTACAGTAAACAGATAGGCCTGATGTCTGGTCACTGAAACCATCTGTTCAAGTGTGAAGATAAAATGTTTATGTTATGCACTCACAGTAGAACACATCTGACCATTGTACAAAGTGTGACAAAAGCTACTGCTGAAAATTTGTGGCCGTACCAGCTTGTCAAAGACTGATCCCGTCAGATCTCAGAAGCTAAGCTAGGCCAGGCCTGGTTAGTACTTGGATGGGAGACCACTGGGAAAATCAGGTGCCACAGTGTGGCGCCAGTTGCAGAAACTGTCATTGTGTCCTTAGGCAAGGCACTTCACCCACATTGCCTAGTATGAAAGTGGTGTGTGTGTGATTGATGGGGGTGGTTGGAGGGGCCGATGGCGCAGATTGGCAGCCCTGCATTTGTCAGTCTGCCTCAGGACAGCTGTGACTACAATAGCAGCTTACCACCATTGGGTATAGAGTGAATGAATAATGCGCTGTAAAGCGTCTTTAAGGGGCGAGAAAAGCACTATAGAAAACTGATGCATTATTATTATTATTATTATTATTATTATCTGTGTGTACAAATGAGACAGTAGGAAATGCAGGCTGAGTGAGCATCCTCCATACAAGGCGCTGCATCTGCCAGTGAGATATGTGTCACTTAAACAGATCCTCATTTTCCCTGTCAGGCCCGGTACATGTGGAACACACTCACCAGTCTGTGTGTGTGTTTGACCTGCTTTGACTTCTGTCAGAGAAACATAGTGTAGCGCTGTCTTAAATTCCTGTGAAATCTTTTATTTTGAACACAGCTCCAGAGCCCATGGGCCGAGCCTGGCTGCGGGATCCCCCTTAATTTGCGCTCAGTCAGATGTGTGGAGATAGGCCCGCTGTGGCAGCGTGTTGATCTGTTTGTAATGCGCTCTCAGAAGAGGATCAGCACGGGAGCAGAGCGAGTGATATTGATTTCTATAAACTGTCTGAAGAAACCGTACAGGAAATGTTGATTTAATTTTTAACGATCACCAACTTCCACCCACCAAACCACACTGTTCTAACAGTATGAGTGTGCCGTCAGATGGAGAGAGGTTAGCATGCCAGTGGCTACAGGCTTATTGCATTGTGCAGCCGCTAAATGATGGCAGGGATAATACAAGAGCTGTTTTCCCAGAGGCTGTGTCTTGAATTATCTTTTCCTATTTCCTTGTGTGTGCTCAGAGCTGGATGCACAGGATTGGGTCCCCCAGCGCCCCACTGAGAGTGCAGAGGAGCCCGCCCCCTGTGAGGGCCCTGCAGCCGCCGAGGACAGCGACTCTGACCTGACCTATGGAGAAGTGGAGCAAAGATTGGACTTGCTACAGCAGCACCTCAACAGGTCTGAGCTCAGAGTGCATATACTCACCTGGAGCTGCTAATCATGTGTTTGGATATTCTGTGTAATTCAGTTGAAATGCATGCTGTTGAGTCTGCAGCATAATACAGCTAATGCATTTGATGGATGCTTTGGCAGCTTCATGGCAACAAGGTGGTCTGGCTAGCCTGTTCAGACCGTAGAGGCATTTCCTGGTATTATGCTCATTACAGATATGAAGGATATAATATGAATGTGAAACATTTTTAAACATTACAGAAATATAGACAATTATTTCTCCACCCCAGTAGCTTCACACAACCTGATAAAAGTGGTTTGAAATGGAGGTATTGACCTTTTGGTGAGGAGACGTATCCGCTGATGCTGGACGGAGCCCTAATAGGCCTGTATTCTTCCTCGCTCCACCAGCTTCTGCTCATTTCTCTCTTGGCCGTGATAAGTGGCACATGGAAATGTGAGGCCGCTCTGCTCTGAGTGAGCAGCTCGTTTGGTGTCGGCTGGTGCAGATACAGAGGAGAGAGGCAGCAGCTATTTATAGAACAGCAGCATTGAAACGCAGACACATTACAAGTGTCTTTACATAGGATTCTTCTGGTCATGGCGGAGGGGGCTTTGAGTTTGGGAAGATTTTGGACATGAGCTTGTTCACGTTCAGACAGTAAGTTTTCTCAAGACAAAGAGAAGCAGAGTGCAGCCCTTCTGCAGGCTGCTGTATCATGTCATTATGCCCTGTCCTTTGATCCTGCTGCTGCTCCACCACACACAGTTTTATCCTCACAAACCTGAGCCAAAGAGTTTAGCAGCCCACACAGCTCCGCACAGCTCCACAGAGCAGCACCTGGCACAGCCCCAGTCAGGCCTGCTCTATTCACTCACTTTTACTGTCACCTCCCATAATGACTCCATTTGGTTGAATATTACAAGTGTGTCAGTTTAGAAACAACTGAGTTTTAACTGTCATAGACTCATTAGCAAAGACATGTAACTGGAAAGGAAACAATTTACAGTATATAGCCATAAAGGTTTCCAATATGTGTGTTTGGAGTCCCCCTTGTGTTTGCTTTGAGCAGTACAACTAAACCAGTTCGAAACAGATGGGCATTAATAATGCACATGGGAAAGTAACAGCCTCAGTGTAAGAGTAAGAGTATATTATATAGCAAATAAAATATGTGAGTCTTATACTGTGCAGTATAACAGAACAGAGACGGCATTTATTGTGTCCCTCAGACTGGAATCCCAGATGACTTCAGACATCCAGGCCATCCTGCAGCTGCTGCAAAGGCAGAGCACGGCTGGGCCTCCTGCCTATAGCACCATCACCTCCAGCCCCGACTACCACAAGGGAGCCGCCTCCAGCCCCAACTACCACAAGGGAGCCGCCTCCAGCCCCGAATTCCACAAGGGGACCGCCTCCAGCCCCGACTACAGCAAGTCGGCTATCCGCGTGCAGCCAGTGTCTTTGCAGGGCGAGCTGGCACTGGCCCCCGCACCTCCTCAGCTTCAGGTCAGACTCACCACATTACACAGAAGGATAGTGATTCTCCTTTAGTGATGTGTTTATTGTCAAACACCCGAGGTGTAACTGCCTTTTCCCCTACAGAGCCCAGAAAACTCCCAGAGCAAATCCAAAGAACCGTCTCCGGTCCTGGGTGCGGAGACTCTTCCAGATGGGGACTTTGCTGGACTGTTGGAAAGTGAATCGGACACAGAGCAGAGACAGAGACATAACCACGTGGACACAATGGACACGCAGGTGGTCGGACTCTCTTCAGGCAGACAGGCCTCACTGCCCGATGTCCCCAGCAGCTCAGGGATGATGGGACTCCACAGGCCACTGTCCGACCCAGGGCTGCCCCAACCTTAGACTGAAGGTCTTCTCTCAAGCACGACTCAGGGTCTAAGAAAGAGACTGAATATGCAAAGGAAACTAACTGTAGACTTTTCTTCCAGTCCTTTTGGAAAGCCCTTGCCCACACCCCTTGGCTGGTTTAGATGTACAGAGTCCATTTATACAGAGGTATTTATAAACTATATTATTAACACATGTAAAGTCATCATCTCCTTGTACATAGGTCAAATAGAACACTGCCAGCAACATGGGGCGCCCAATGTGCTTTTTCTAAGAGATATGCATGTGTTTGCGTCCTCCCTCCCTTCACCTCTGGGTTGCATGTTCCTCTCACATGGGCCATCAGGTGTGTTCTCTGCATGTGTACAGTCTATTGTAGCCAACAGGTCAACCCAGCACAGGGACAAAGCTACTTGAAACACTCTCCCATATTTCTGCAATGTGCTCCTTTAACCCCTTTCACCACAATCACAAGGAAACCTGTGTATGTTTAGCGTGCCTACTTGATACCACAATGCCACCTTTTATGAAATAGAATCACTTTAAATTAAGTACACACACTGTACCTGTATGAGACAGCAGCCTGAAAAGCCCATAGCACAAGACCCTTCTGTTGTAAGAGCAATAATGATGGCATAGGAAATATTATATTATCATAAAACATGTCAGTTATTTTATAAGACAGACCATATGCTCCCAAACCTCAGCTAAGGCCCTGCTCTTCTCCTGGAGAATGTGTTTGATGTATATGTGTCTCCAAATGTGTCCAAACTTTACAATCATCAATCATACATATATAAAACACATATAACATGGTTAAAAAGGGCATGTCAGACTGACCAGACCAAGAGACTTCTGTGCTTTCACACTGTTCAACAACGCATGTTCTAGGTCTTCCATTATCTTTCTAAAAATACCATTTCATTAATAAAAACATCTTAATCACCAAAAAGATTCATGTGCCGGGCTGAAGTCCAGCCTTCACTAGCCTTAGCTTGATTAGCCTGCCCTAGCCTTTACAAATCATATAGTACCTAAACACATCCAATGCTTTTCTCCATCAAATATGTAAATTCCTCCAGTTATTTAAACTTTGAAGAATAAACTGCATGATACAAATAAGTCCTTTACATTTTATACCTACTCAAAAGGAACTGTGAGCTCATGTACTGCATGGAGACTGCACTGACTCAAGTATAAGAGGTCTCACCCGTGTGTATTCAACTGTAGGTGCAGCACAGAACTCACCAGAGACATTTAATGGTTTAACCTATTTTTCTAAAACAGAAAATTTTGTTTGCCATTATTTTTATAATGTACTTGGTTTAAGTGTTTTTAAACCCCTGACGTTCGAATGGTGTGGGCTGCTGATGAGTTGGTGATGGACGATAATGAATGCAAATCATAGCCTCTTAATGTAGCAAGACCTCAGAGACAGAAGGCTTCCTGCTGGTGTTGCATTGACTCTTTGCCATTGAATTTCTGTTGCTACCAGTTTATCAGATGGAGCTTTAGCTACTGTTTGCCACTGTGAGTTTTTACTGTTGTGTCATCTTAATGGTCACATGCACATAGAGAGGTAAAGGGCATTCAGATCTATATGTACTGCTGTCTGGATTTTTGTTTTCTCAAACCTGAGGACTCAGAGTGGCAAACAGATGTAGAATCTGCATTCAGCCTCACGTGGGGTGTTTCCTTTCAGAACATATCTTTGATTTTCAAGCACAGATGTAGAACAAGTCGCTTCAGTTCAACCCAACATGTCCAGCGCCTGAAGAGCTGTCTACTGAACTTTCATGGAAATTGCAATCTTTTGCACAAAGATTAGAAAACTTGCTGTACTGGATAAAATGTCACTTTTTAAATCTAGTGCTGTTCACAATTGTTTTTATGCATTTTTTAAATGTTTGCCACTGTATTTTATACAATGCAACACTTAACAGCTAATTTGAATGTTTTTGTTCCAAACTATATTTAAAGAAATCTAATATATTGTGTAGACTGAATACACAATTGTATAGAATAATAAACTGAATGCATACTGGCACAGTGTTTATTGTGAATAACAAAAGATACATATACAGTGCAAAATCTGTATTCTGTTCATGCATATACAGTCACCCCTACTATATTGTCACATTGTTTCGTACATGGAGCTAATATAAGGTTAGGCACAGAGCAAACAAATGCAAGTGGAAAAGGCACATATATTTTTTAACATCTCACTGTACATTTCAGTAACGCTACATTAGAAATCTAAGGAGTGCTCACCGTATAAAGCTTTTGTTAAGTATAATATATATCCGTTTATTACACTTTATGGCCACGCATACAAAGATGTTAATGGCACAATAGGTGTACAGGAAATCAGAGCATCTTTTACAAACAGTAGTCTTAAGTTCAATTTTGTCAATAATCAGTCTAAATATGTTAATTGTAATGTCATTCCCAATCAAATTAAAAAGATTTCAATAGATAGCATCAGCACTAAAGTCTAGAAAAAGCCCTTCCTGTATTTGTGTGAAAACTAAAGCATTGCAGCAAGCGGTTTACGTAGACCTGTCGGAGTCTGTGGTCTCAGTCACAAATACTGGCCTCCCTTTACAATCCTGCAGTCAGCTGTCCACAATCCAACAATAATCAGACAGCCATTGTGCACAGGATAAACTGGAAAAATGGGAAATGTGGATGCAAAGTCATTTTAAGATACATTGGACAGACAGTGGCCTTCACCTGCACAACAAAATCTGACTATTATCTGATTTCTGAACCTTTATGATGATTTAAATGGCATGTAACCTGCTAAATCTGATCTGAGTAATCAGAGGAATCATGATTAGAAAGAAACAAGATAATTTGGCTTTTTACTTGTCATTTAAATCACAAGTCCCCCAATCTTTTTTCTCGTAAGGACCTGGAACATAAAAGAGACCAGGGCAAGTAATAATAATGCAAAATGCATACAACTCTTCACCATAGTTTGACAAAAAGATCTGAATACTCATGTTTGCTGTTTACCAGTTTAAGTTTTGTGGTATATTTTCAGAGTAAAACACATAGATAAGGTGGTAGACTATTAAAAAGTAAAAGATCTATACCATTTTCCTGTGAGGTCCGGTTCCAGAGGCCCACAGCCCGGATTTGAGCCCCGGACCAGTGGTTGGGGACCCCTGATTTAAATAATCTTATAACTCAAAAAAATTCAATAATAATCAGATTTTGAGTGTGCATGTAAACATGACCACAGACATAATGGTAATATCACAATATACAAGACACAGAGAAAAGAATAAACTTACATCATCATATTGGAAGGTAACGGCTCCCTGCTGCATCCGGTCCCTCTGCCTGAAGTTCTCTGCAATAACATTAACATATATGACAAAAATTCTAAACCCATAATATTGCAAACATTCAAAACCAAAATTCATTCTAAGAAAATGTAATGCTAACTTTGGTTTATGTTTAAGACCTAAAATATTGCTTACAGAACAAAAACGTGTTGGGAGAAGTAACATTACAGAAAAGCTGAGATGTTAAGAGCTAAACTAATACCAGAATCACATTTTTTCAAAACAGCTATATACAGGTATATCAGCTCTAGAGGTGTACATTAGAGATACGCGGATGGGCTATTTTTTCATCCGCAACCGCGACACAAAACTCATCCGCCCGCTGTCCATTTTGCACCGAAGGTTTTCAAAACCGCACCCGCCCGCCATCCGCCGATTGATTTTAGATTTTAGAACAATCATACAGCAAACAAACTAAGGAGCCTCGATAAAAATTCAAACTCTATAGCTCATTCATTCCAAAATTCGCTCAGCGTGTATGTTCGCATTCTTAATTGTCCGTAACAACCCCAAACTTACCTGGTTTTCTTGCGCAGCTAATTAATTGACAACGTTTTCCGACTAGACTATTTTTGAGCCTTCTTGCCTTCGTGTTGGATGTTGTTACATTCTGAACATTCTGCCATTGCCCGATGTTATTTCAAAGTCATAGCCTCACTCCATCGGTCTTTAAGTTTTAAACACCCCGAGTGGCAGTCTACGCTATAATGTCTGCGTGTTTTAAAAAAAAAGCATAACTAAATAAATATGGCCCTATAGCCACTTACGTGTTAGCAAACAGCTGAAATAAATTAGAAATAATAAAATAAACTGCATATAATATGTGCCTCGTAAACCTTAGGCATCAATAACCCGACACAACCTGAACCTTCAGAACATAAAAACGAGGTCAAATAGGCTAATTAAGGATATGACGTACACTTCATACTACAAGCATAGACAAGGAGACTCGTCTTTTCAGATGTAGGTAACAATACTAACAAGAACTTTTTTTTTTTTTTTTTTTTTAGTAGTTAAACCGCCACCCGCCCGAATTTAATTAAAATATAATTTTTCGTCACCTCATCCGCCCGACCCGCGGATTAACCGCGGATACCGCGGTTGCAACCGCAATCCGCGCATCTCTAGTGTACATGATACAAGCCTGTGGAGGATGTTTGTAGAGAAATTATTTTACTTTACAATTCCATCTTTGCCATTTTACTAATTGTGTCCACTCTATGATATAATCCTGCACTCTTACCAAAAGTCCATCTAAAAATCCAACTAAAATATTGTACCCACATAGCAAGAAGCCTAGGATGCAGGTGCAGGCAAACTAATCAGCTGTCTGAAATGTCAGTCCACATTTGTCCCATGTATAACATACAGCACACTGCCCACTGAACACGTCACAACAGATAGGTGTAGGTACCTGTAAGTGAGCGCAGTTTCACACAACACGCCACATAGTCGTCAAAAAAAATCCGACCATTTTTACTGTAGCGTTGCAAGATGATGTTCAAAGCCTGAGGACTGAGGCGGTACCCTGACAAAAAGGGAGAACACTGTTAATCATATTGGAGGGGTCAAAACAAATGTGCCATCATCACAGATCATAAGATAAGCTAATAGCAGCTAATCGTGTCTAAAATGTATAATGCTACTTTGAGTCAAGTATAGATTAGTAATAGTTCATTAAGTATTACAAGTAAAGTAAATGGTGTGTGTTAAATGGCTACAGTTACTATAATGTAATCAGACTCACCCATAGTGGTAATGGCCTGGGACATCTCATGAGGCTCCACAGTCCCACTGCGGTCCCGGTCAAACATAATAAAGTTCTGCTTCCAGCCGTTCATGGCCACCAGCAGCTCTTTGAACTCACTGAAGCCCATTTTACCTGTGAAGTCTCTCTGGTAACATCTGGATTAAGGTGAACAAATACGTCATTACATGTGACACATGGTTAATGACAATATTCCATGTTATGTCACTGAGAAGGTAGCTGGGCCAGCCCTGTTCACTGAAGCCACACCTATACAGCTGTAATGAGTCACTGAATGAGACAAAGTGCTCTTCTACAGATGACCCCTGCAGGTCAAAAGGATACGTCCAGCATGGCAATCATGATCCGACAGGTCTCCAAACTAAAGGCTGTAAGCAATTAATTTTACTGTTTTAATACACAATACAACTAGAAATAGGGTTGTTGAAAATGAGTATAACATACGAGAGTAACTTCCTGTGAAGTTGGCTTGAGTCAGACACCTCTGGAGCTCCTCTGCATCCACCTCACCATCCTGTGCACAGAGAAATATCAACACACACTCTCTTTAAAAAACAGCCCCCACACCAGACTCCCTGGTACCTGGCCCGCTATGGATGTGAAGTACCCCCACATGGGATCATTGGCAGCTGGAGCAGCACCATATCCTGGGAATCCTCCATACGGGGCATATCCTCCCTGGGGAGGCATGCCTCCCATTGGTGTGCCCATAGGTCCACCCATTTGCCCAGGCATGGGGCCTCCCATATGCCCACCCATAGGACCCCCCATTGGAGGCCCACCCATGGGGCCACCTGGCATCCCCTGAGCAGGCATTCCCGGCATTGGGGCTCCATACTGAAACAAAAAGAGGATGAAATATGTGAATTCACAGAAAATTGTTACACAAATTCCCCACACATGGAGAGTCCAATGTGGTTAAATTGGAGTAAAACCGTGGTAGCAGATACTGCTCGAGTTCTCATGGTAGCAGAACTGATAATATACTTGACTAACATATTTAGGTCACCCACTTCACCCTGATTTCTGCTTTACTTTCCTACTACACGCATGATCCAACATACTATAGGCAAAAGGCAGGTCACTACCTGTTTCTGTTTTTCACTGACAGCTAGCTCGTCAAAAGTAGATCGCCGGAAGCAGTAGTAAAACAAAACGTAATCTGGAATATTTTTGAAAGATTTAGACTATAGATTTATAAACCCTTGTTTACGTATAGGCAACATACAAATTTTAAACTTTTAAGATACACAGATTTGATAAAGGTAAATCTTTCTTAAGCTCTTATGCAAGAGGTGAGATCCGCTTTTACGCGATACTAGGTTGTATTTGAAAACTCTTACCCCACCGTATCCTGGATATGCCATTAGAAAACGCGTCAATAGATAGTTGATAGTTTAAATGTTCCTCTTATAATATGATTGTCTCAGAAGATAAATCAAACTGCTTAAACAGTTGTAACTTCCGATAAGTGTAAGCGTTTGCTACATCACATCCGTGCTGCTGGCGTCTGTCGGAAGTATGCAGAGTGACAACAAAGACGACCAATTAGAGGCCGATATGAGAACTGACCCGCCCCCTGTTGGAAAGGCTTAGCCAATTAGAAGGCTGATTAACTATTGGCCACAGGTCCCGCATTCACTAAAATGCAAATGGTAAGAAAGTTCTTGAGAAAATGTCAGTGTGATTTATCTAATAATGTTTAAATTGATCCAGGCGTGTTACAAAGGTAATTAAAGTGTGTCTTTCATTGCCTCGTTTTCACCACTAGATGATGCTATTTAACCCGTTTTTTTCGCAGGCGCTACATTAATTTCTGTCTCTGTAAAGTCTGACGTAAAGGAGAGAAGAGGACTGCCCCGTGTGAAGTCACATGCAACATTCAGAGGTGGTCGATTATATAGACTATAGGCTACAGATTAACTATAGACTCTTTAAGTGCTGATTTAGCCTAGATTTCATTATGTCCGGGATGATTGAATTTTACTCAACTTCAATGTATAAAAAATCCAAATAAAATACAATTCTTAATACTCTTGGTATTAGTGGATCACTACGTTGCCTGACACACTCTTGTAAAAACGTTTATCTGAATGAGTTTTAATTAGGTGAAATAAAAGGTTAAAAAAAAAAAAAAAAAAAAAAGACACAATTTAACAACAACGTGTAAGATTTTGAGTCATTAATTAACCCAGAGTCAGACTAGTTCACATTCATTGAGCTACACGTGCCCTTTGTCCTTTAACCTGCACACTACTTAAAAGCTAGCCAAAAGCCCCATTACAACACAGAGGTGTTTAATACAAGCATTTGGTCTGGAATTTGGCCCACCATCTTTGTTTATGGCCATGAATAAACAAGGAAGAGCTGAGAGGAAGTGGTGCCAAGCGAAGATCCTCAAATATCCAGCATCTCCTGCAGGATTTGCTGTTCTGTTACATTTAATCTGTCGCTTAATTGTACATGGTAACACTTATTCTGAAAACTAATAGGTGTCATAAAATATTGTTGTATTACACTATCTGTTTATTTATTTTAAGGATAATGGATTTTTATTTTTTTTTTTTTCTTCAGACAACCATCCTGCATTAGGGAAGATGACCACTGTCTATTTGTTTGCTGAGGATGTCCGGAGTGCACAATATCATGTCTATTCGCCATAAAGAATGAGCGAGTGCTGTATTTGTCCAGCTTTTAACAGGCTTTTAGCATGCAGTGTCACCGCTAACCACTTAACATGTGTGTGTGAACAGGGAGGCGGACAGAGACTAAAATAGACCAGACTCATCTTCTTCTCCAAACTATTCCTGCACCAACTGGTCCCAAATACACTCTGCTATTCTTACCTATGACATGTGCACATGACACAGTTCCCACACCAGGGGGTCATAACTATATTATTAGTGTAAGTTTGTGTCAATACATTACACACTGACTGTAACTTATGTAACGTTTTTAATAGCCCTTGCCTTGGCTGTGTATCTCTCTGGTCTTGAATGGCTTTTTGCTGTTCTTTCTTTTTGGCTCTGATGGCTCTACATGCACACCAAAATCTGATTATTAGTGTCTGGTTTCTGGACATTTAAGATTGCCTGATGTGAGTAAACAGAGGGACTATGATCACAAAGAAATCTGATGAGTTTGCTGTTTACAAGGCATTTGAATAGTCTTGACTATTACTTTAAACTATAACTTCAGAAATTTGATAATACTCTGATTTAGTGCGTGCATGCCACTGATTGCCACATTATGGTAGTGAGAAATATCTTTTGACTCACAATATATAAAATAATATAATATTATCGACTTTTATGTCTGTTTTTTCATTCATGTAAATAGGTATGGTAATAAACCAGGTTAATGTATATAATTATACCTGCATTTTATACTATCGATTGCTCTTAAAATTATGGCATCACGTGAGGTCTATTATAAGTTAATTAAGTGACACTGTTCGTAGGACTATGCGCCAGTAGGCTATAACTACACAGATATACGCACGTGTGTCTGTTTGATGAATGAGGATCAGCCAGTATACTGAGACGCAGTTTGGGGAACCACACACTTCCTTAAGCTTGACAGCTCGGCTTTGTGCTAAAAGTCGGCGAACTTTACTCCGTTTGCAGCGCTTTTATTGTGTCACCTTTGAAACTTGAGCTGAGATAACATTTAACTGGAAAGCCCGTGAGAGGCATAACTCAAGTGTCGTACAGTTATCCATCGGACGCGTAAGGGATTTACTCCTCACGTACAGCAGGAAAATGGTTTGTTACGCATGCTTCATATTGACAATATTGCCTAATTGTGACGCTGTGATACCGAGCGCTGCACTTTTGTAACATCTTACTTTACGTTTCTCAGGTTTCCATCGGTAAAATTGTGCTTGGAGTCTTGAGTGTGGCGGTAGTAGTCATCTTAATTGTGGTGCCCACTGTTATATTTTTAAACGGTGAGCCCTAAATGCATGATTCTTTCGTCCACTTGATTGTTTATGCGCACGGACTGCGTAATTACGCATGCCACTTAAACGCACACCTGTGAATACACATGCTTTTAAACAGGAATCAAACCAAAAAAAACAGTTGTGGAAATTATTTTATGGTTTACATCACTGTGTTTACGTCACTACCCTAAGGAAAGTTGTAAAGTAGTTATTTTCAGTGAGTTTTTATGCAGTGCCCTGATGTGCTCTTTTAATTACGCACGGTGACGTAGAAAATCTTCCACTTGATGATGCTCATGATGTGCGCTTTATCTGTATGCTTTATGATTATGATGGGCTTGTAAGAGCCAGGTTCTCAGTGGAATATTTAACCTGTTTTTCTTCAAAGACGGAGAAGAAGGTGAAGGACAGAAGTTCTTCTCTTTGGAGGATGTCTTCAACAGTTCCCTGAAACCCAAGTCCTACAACATGAGGTGGATCTCAGGTCTGCTCTGTAAAAACACACAAATCCTGCACACAAAATCCAAGGTGCCATCTTTTGCATCTCATTCATGTTTGTTGTGTAAATATATTCTCCTCTCACCTGTAGATACCGAATACCTCCACAAATCCGATGGCTCTGTATATCTGCACAACCCCAGCACTTCTCAAAACACACTGTTCCTGGGCAAAGAGATGTTTGTGAGTAATCCCAAAACACATGATAAAGAATAACAGATAACGAATTTGAGTGGAACAACTCACTAAGCATATGTGTACATTCTTTTCCACACAGGAACAAATGAATGCATATGATTACCAGTTGTCTGCAGATCGGAAATATGTGGCATTTATGAGTAACTATAGCAAGGTACTTCCCCATTCAAAGTTCTCATCACAAATCCTCTTCATATTTATATATTATTTTGTCCTTATAGTTGTGGAGACACTCTTTCACCGCAACATATTCTTTGTACAATCTTGAAAAAAGGTAAGTGCATAAAAATCGAAATAAAGATAATCTAGAGTCAAACTTTACTCATCCACAAGGGAAATTATTTGGACACAGTAGCTCACACATCACAATATATTGTATTAACAAAGAGCACAAATATAAATTGCAATTATAAATTCAAAACAAGCAGCAAAAATAAGGCACAATTTATTATTTACTTGTATTGAATTTCTGTATTTTGACTCCTCAGGCAGCTCTTGTCCAGTATTCACCAAGTCCAGTTCTTTGCCTGGTCGCCCGAAGGACACAAACTGGTATGTTTCAAGTCAAGTGTAATAAGTAAAAGATTTGAAGTGGGTTTCACCATTCACTGGTGAATACAAATATGCATGTTTTTGTTGAAATTCACAGGCCTATGTGTTGAGCAATGATGTGTTTATAAAGACAAGCCCTGAGTTGGCTTCAGAGAGAGTCACATATAATGGAAAAGAGAATGAAATTTTCAATGGTATTCCAGACTGGGTGTATGAAGGTAAGGTTCCCACTAAAATGTGTATTAACTACCCTAAACCAGACCAACAATTATCCACATTTTAAATATATTTCCTAAGTTTGGAAAAGTGGCTATACATTACTGGGTGACTGGAAGAAAATACCACAATTTCCCAAGTAGAATTTGAGAGCATATTTGGAAAAAATAAGGAGTCGTTTTTGAGTAGCTTTATAGTCAGGATGTGGTTAGTTCCTGTTCAGCCCCTTCACACAGCATTACAAGCTAGAATACTGCTGGGTGGTGAAAAGATTGAATAGACTTACTAGACCTTCTATTTGCTAACATTTTAAAGCTGAATTTCTGTCCTGATTCCATAGCTAAATCACTTTAATGGATTTTCTTTTGCAGAGGAGATGTTCTCATCCAATCAGGGCTTATGGTGGTCTCCTGGAGGGAAGTTTGTGGCGTATGCCCATTTCAATGACTCCATCGTCCCTCACATTGAGTACACCTGGTTTGGAGATAAACAGTATCCAAGCACTGTCTCCATTCCTTATCCTAAAGTAAGATAATTTACCGTCTGGAGATATTTCCTGGCATTACTGACACTTTAATTAAGCTAATCCGGTCTATAACATTTTCAGGCAGGTGCCACCAACCCCACTGTGAAGCTGTTTGTTGTTGAGGCTAATAATGTGACCCAAATCACTGAGGTGGTCATCCCGGGTGTGTATGCTTCCAGGTACACCATAGTACTATTAAAGATCCTCTATTGATTTTTGAATGTTGTTACCTCCTCAAAAACATACCTGGAGTTGTGTTTTAGTAACCCTTTATTATTAGTCTGTCCACATCTCTAAAACTCAAAATGCTCTGCTCCACTTCGCGATGTCATCAAGCTGTAGTTTTCTTTTAGTTCAATAGAGATGGACAATTCCAGAGTGTAAATCATCCAAATGTTTCTACCGAAGGTGTCTGAAGTTTCAAAACACAGTGGAGCACTTCCTGTATTGCCACATGACATCACAAGGTGGAACAGAGTGTTTTCAGTTTGAGAGAAGAACTCAGCCATGCAGGATTTTTTGTGTTAAAAATGTGTGAATGAAACAAAAAACAACTGCAGGTATGTTTTTGATGAGGAAACACCATTATAGCATACTGTAGATCAGAAAATAGTCTAATAAGGCTCCTTTAACTACCCTCTTATAAAACAACTGTTGTCACTAATTGTGCTTTAACCTTTTAGTGACCATTACCTAGCCACGGTCACTTGGGCCACAGATGAACGAATAGCTGTTCAATGGCAAAAAAGAACCCAATGCCACGTCATGCTGCAGATATACAACTATACTGGAGGCAACTGGGAGCCTTTCGAGGTAAGAGCATGTGATAAGCAGATAGGAGAAAGATGGATTCCTCAGTAAAAGCAGTTAAAGAGACTCAAGATTTATGCATTTACGGTCCACACAAATCACAGGGACAGCTGCTAAACCAGGGGTAGTTTTACTGCAACAGAAAAGATAGGGAGGTGTTATAGATAAGTTTATTTGTTCTTAGCTAAAGCCATATTCAGGATTCCTCTCAAGAAAATATTGGATTTTAGGTTTGTTCTACCGATTGTGAACTATTGATTTATATGACTGTGTGACATCATTTGGTGATTAAATTGTCGATCACAGATTACAGATAAGGTGGACACTGTCTTTTTAACATAGAATGACCTTGCTTGATGACAGAACAAACAGGTGGTGATATGTGATTGTGTTTAGTATGAGTTTATCATGTGAAGACCATCCAAATCCTCATGTGACAGGTCTACTGTGATAAGCTAAAAGATAGCTAAATCATGGAGTGTCCCATGATTCAAGAACTGATACTGTAAGATGTAACTATAAGTTGTTTTTTATTATGCAAAATTGACTCTTGTGTGCTTTAATCCATACTAGAATGTGATTACTTCACCAAAAACATACCCAGAGTTGTGTTTGTTTCATTCACGCATACTTTGAGTAACCCTTTATGTTTGCCTTTTATGTCTGTTGACATCCCTAAAGCTCAAAATGCTCTGTGAGCATTGTGATGTCATGAAGTGGTAGTTTTCATGTTAACAGCTTATTCAATATATTCTAATGAAGGTGAATGTAGTTTAAAAAAACACTGTGGAGCACTTCTTCTATTACCACATGATATCACAAGGTGGAATAGAGTGTTCTCTGTTTGAGAGAAGAACTCAGCATAAATATGCAGCGTTTGTGCTTTAAGTATGTTTGGATGAACCAAAACACAACTCCAGGTATGACTCTGATGAGGAAATTATATTATAACATAGATCAGAAAACTGTGTTATATGGGCCCTTTAAGAAATTAAGGCACATTGTAATGTTTGTCCCCCATCAAGCTGAGCATTTACACATATTTCAATCTTCTCTTTTTCTCAGCACATGGAGATTATCAGTTCCACAGGCTGGGTCGGACGGGTACAGTATGCCTCATGTTTGGTTTTCATGTATGAAGGCTGTGGCCTTATACATGTGCTGTGTGCAGTTCTCCCCCTCAGAGCCCGTGTTTGCTCCAGACAAGATAACCTACTACCTGATCATGAGCGACAAGCAGAAATACAAGCACATCCACCGTGTTAAAGGGGTAAGCTAACTGAGGCGTATTCAGGGTATACAGTCTGTGACTTTTTATGTTAGGGACACCATGTCATGTACCACAGCAATGACCCTAATTCACATTCTTGAAGTTGAAACCCATGGATATAAGCACAAACTTTGACCAGTAGTGATAACCCAAAACTCACATTTTGACAAGGTCCAAGATCTAAGATTTTAATTAAAGGGACTATATTATGCATAACTGATTCTTATGAGCATTAGCTCATGTTGTTATATTGTTTCCTCCTCAAAAACATACCCGGAGTTGTGTTTTGTTTCACACATGTTTGAGTAATCTTTCATTATTAGTCTCCAAAGCTCAAAATGCTCTGTTCCACCTTGTGATGAAATGTAGAGGTATTTTTCAAGTTAACAGCAACCTTTTACCTTTAGTTCAGTGTAGGCTGGCAACTCCAGGGCTGGAATTATCCAGATGGTTCTAGTAAAGGATATGGAGAACACAGTGGAGCATTTCCTGTATTACCACATGACAACACAAGATGGAACAGAGTGTTTTCAGTCCGAGAAAAGAACTCAGCCTAAATGTGCAGGATTTGTGTGTTAAACGTGTGAATGAAACAAAACACTGCAATTATATTTTGATGAGAAAACATCAGAAAAAATAGCGTAATACGGGACCTTTAATGTACTTTAAAATTACTATACTATACTTACTTTTCTGAGAGTCCACTACCTGCTTGTTACCGTATTCTTCCTAATGTTATTGCCTTGCATTATACAGGGTGTTCCTGAACCAATCACTTCTGGAGAATGGGAGGTCATCAGTATTGTCTTAGTGAATGAAGACAGTGTGTAAGTGTCAACATTATGTGATCATACATTTTATTAATAAAAACTCCTTTAAGGACTACTCAAAATGACATGGGCTTTTCAATAGATACTTTGTCAGTAATCAGCACGAGAACAAGCCTGGAGGAAGGAATGTCTATAGATATACGTAAGTGCAATTTTATTTATTTATTTATTTATTTTTATTTCTTAGAATCCTTGGATTTTGATTTTCTTCTACTCTGTCTGTTTCAGTTGGAGCGGAAATACCAATGTAATATCGTGTCTTACCTGTCAGTCAGATTGTCTCTATAACTCTGTGTACATGAGCTCAAACGCCTCCTTTTACAGGCTGAGCTGCAATGGTTAGTGTTTTGACATGCTAATTTTGGATTGTTAATATTATATACATATCATTTTAAAATATAATGGTTTACATATTACTTATTCATAATGCAGGACCTGGGATCCCACAGCATTTTCTAATGACTAAGGAAGGAGTTCGTAAGTAATGAATGAGTTACAAAATGTGCAATGCTGGTTGTTTTAAAAATGATTTTGTATTTTGAATTTTGTAGAGACTCTGGAGAATAACACAGCATTTGCCAAAGAAATTGCCACTATTCAGATGCCCACAGAGCGTAGAGGAACTATTAAAATCGATGGATTTGGTAAGTGAGGTTGTGAATTGGTTTGACTGAAAAGTAAAAAAAAAAAAAATAGATAAAAGTAAAATGTTTTGTGTGTTGCAGATCTATGGTACAAGATGTTGTTACCTCCAGGCTTCGATGAGAAGAAGACGTATCCCCTTCTCATTGATGTGTAAGATAAGATAAGATAGAAAGACAACAATTGAATAGGAAACTTTTACAATATCATAATGGAAATCTCTTGGATTTATAATGCAATTGGTAGTTGCAGTAGAAAGGGTAAAACAAGGACAGGGAACTACATAGACCTTTGCTCCTTTTCAACGTGAAGAAGTAGCCAAAAAATTTACTTGACATACAAACATTACTGCCATATTAGATTGCCAAAAAGTAAATCATAATTAAGATAAGATTAAAATTAAATGCCATAAATTCTTCAGTGAAGTTTATAGCAGGTTAATACCCTCCCTAATGTGTTTTGTTTATAGATACGCAGGCCCATGCAGTCAGAAAGTGGACTACATCTACAGACTGAACTGGGCCACCTACTTGGCCAGCACCGAAAAAATCATTGTGGCCAGTTTCGATGGGAGAGGAAGTGGTTACCAAGGCGACGAGATAATGCATAAACTCTATCAACGTCTAGGAACCTATGAGGTGGAAGATCAGATAACAGCGGCCAAGTAAGGAAAAACGTGGCTTGAGTATTTCCAGGAAACGCTCCCTTGCTCTAAAACTGGATTCCTGTTGTTTTTTGTGGGAGGCAGGAAGTTGTGGCTAATTATCGTGCTGAGCTAACAATGTCTTGTGTATTAGGGAATTCATCAAAATGGGCTTCATTGACAAGGAGAGGGTGGCTATTTGGGGTTGGGTATGTTTAAAAAGAAAACATTATTCAAATAAGAAAAAAATAATTATTATAATCCTAATGATGTTGTATTTCAGTCCTATGGGGGCTATGTCACTTCGATGGTGCTGGGGGCAGGAAGTGGGGTATTCAAATGTGGAATGGCTGTGGCTCCAGTCTCCAAATGGGAATACTATGGTGAGAATTCCTTTCAATAGCATTTGGTATTATTAGTAGAATATTTGGAAGTACATATTTTTTATGTTTTATTTTTTTCAGATTCTATCTACACTGAGCGCTACATGAAACCTCCTCACTTGAATCAAGATGCATATGATGTAATTAAGACTGTTACTTTAAAAAAAATAAAAATTATGTATCTATATTCTATTATATATCACACTCTCTTTCATTTTTAGAACTCAACCGTCATAGCCAGAGCGAAAAACTTCCACTCAGTTCAGTATTTGCTGGTTCATGGGACAGCTGACGGTAATATACTCTCAAATGTTAATGATTTTCACTTTACGCTTTACATGACACAAAATTGTCTATTGTTCGCTTTTAGCCATGTTATAATGTTCTTACCTTAACATACCTGGAGTTATGTTTTGTTTCATTCACACATGTCTGAGTGACCCTATTATACATCTCCAAAGCTCTAAATGCTCAGTTTCACCTTGTGATGTCATGAAACTGTTTTCGATTTAACAGCTAACTTTAGTTCAGTAGAGATTGGCTGAGCTGAAATTAGCCAAATGATTCTAACGAAGGTGTATGGAGTTTAAAAACACAGTGGAGCACTTCCTGTTTTACCATATGACATCACAGCTGGGAGTATTTTCTGTTTGAGAGAAGAACTCAGCCTAACTATGCAGGGTTTGTGTGTTAAACATGTGTGAATGAAACAAAACACAACTCTAGGTAAGTTTTAATGAGGAAACAACTTTATAACATAGATCAGAAAACAGCACAATATGGGCCCTTTAATAAAACAAACTTTACCTTATTTTTGTAGACAATGTGCACTTCCAGCAGGCTGCAGAGATCTCTGAAGCTTTAGTGGAGGAGCAGGTGGACTTTGAATCCATGGTGAGTCAGAAGGAACTATTATTTAGTTTGTATCAGAGTTCATAAACTCAGTCCATAAACTCCAACTATCATGAAACTCAAGGATAATTGTTTCTTTTGTATGTTTTTTTAGTGGTACACAGATAAAGACCACAGCCTACAAGGGGCAGCCAACCAGCACGTGTACACGCATATGAGCCATTTCCTACTCAGGTGTTTCGCATAGTAGTTTCTTTTATAAATTTATTTTCTCTGGAAATTTCCATAAAGTTCCAACTTGGTATTATATTACTTTTGCATTTGTTATCTAAAATCATATATGAGTTTGTGATTTAACTTGTAAATTCTATCTGTCGACACTGTACTGTACTTGTTTACTATTGTGTAAATTATGACTAAAATACGTAAGTTATTCTATTACATAAATTCATTTTCCACTGGTAATTGTTTTTTGTTTTTTGCTATTAATAAACTTTCAATGTTGTGATAGAACGTTTTATACTTAATTCTTCTTTTCGAACAACAACTATGAGCCTATGGCAGGAACAACTTGGACCAGTTACTTGCTCTTAAAGGGCCAATATTATGCTATTTCTGATCTATGTTATAATGTTGTTTCATCAAAAACATATCTGGAGTTGTGTTGTGTTTCATTCATACATGTCTAACACTCAAACCCTGCATATTTCAGCTGAGATGCTTCTCTCAAACAGTAAACACTCTGTTCCACCTTGTGCGTCATGAGGTAATACAGTAAATGTAATAATTTTAGCCCTGGAATTGCCAAGCTTTACTAAACAAAAGGTAAAAGGTAGCTGTTAACTTGAAAACTACCACGTCATGACATCACAAGACAGAACAGAACATTTTGAGCTTTGGACTTAAAGACAGACTAATCATGCAGGATTACTCAAACATGAATGAAAGAAACAAAACACAACTCGGGGTATGTTTTTGATGAGATAGTAACATCAGAACATGACTTAATACTCGCAGGAGTCAATTTTGAGTAATATAGAAACTTAAATAAACTTTAAATGTTGTGATAGAAGCTTTTATCCTTCATTCTTCTTCTAAACCAGCAGCTATGGGCCTATGGCAGGAACAGCTTGGACCAGTTAACGTCAGTATAAGATTATTGCTCAGTGTTGTCCGGTGTAAATGCAGATGTGAGTGAAGTTAATTGATCTGTCTTTATTGGGGCTTGTAAAACAGCGATAACGGGGCGATTTTCTCACATTTTAGAGCTGAACAGGCAGTGTCCACATATGACTCAGTGCCAATATGACAGTAGCCATTGGAGCATCTTCCGTAGCCTTGTATTTACCAGGATGAGCTGCTGTTTGATGTCTTTAACACTTCGGTAACGCCTGATCACCATTCTCACTTTAGGCTCGTGTGCACTGGCCTATATCTAATGCCCTGAGAGGTAACAGGTGGGACCCCCCCCTCCCTTCACACTATTTAAAAGACTGCATTAACCACGAATGGCTAGAAACGGACAGCAGCGTCAAGCAGAGGATCCACTAAGGTTTGCCATCAACAGGTAAGTTTTACAAGTGGGGTTTTAAATAGAGGTAACTTTGGTTTTTACTTTGTTCATGTTTTTGGTGCAGGTCACAATGAAAAGCAGCTATCTCCTCAGTGGTATCCTCCTCGCCCTGTGTTTAGTCCAGAGAAGCTGGCAAGCCGCTCTACAAGAACCTGACAACGCCATGAGGTACAAATTCAATATTGTCTAAAGTTGTTATGGAGAAAAAAAGGAACATTTTGTAAAAAAGATAAAGAGATATCAAATTACTCTCTATTCCAAAGAGCTGTAGGACACTGTTTTTTATTATTCTTATTTTTGCTTTTTTAATGTAATTGTTTTTAACTTTAATAAAACCAACCAGCTTAGACTGAGAATCTACTTCCACTATTCAGTTGTCACTATCAACTACACCTATCTATTGACTTAGCTTTTAACCTAATAATTGTGTTTTATTTTAAACACTTTATCTTTTGGCATAGTTACTTTATGATACTGAATTTCCATGTTGATAATGTAATCATATTTATTTGAAATGCAGAATAGCAAGTTAAACAAGCAATTCCATGATAAAGAATTGGACCTGACGTAAAACAAATATAAAATCAATTGGACTGATAAGAGGTTAGATTTTGATTTTCCTTCAGTGTCTATAAAGTATCTATCTAAAACACATTAATCATATTATACTTGTTACATTTAACCATACAGAAATGCATATATAAGGCATTAGGGTTATTTAACTTTTTTTTCTTTTAAATTGTGAAATTATACAACAAAAACAAACATAGACAAAAAAACAAAACCCTCCCACACTCCAACCATCTTTCCACACTCAACACAAAACTGCACAAAAACCACTAAACAAACATCAAAAGTCAGTCATGTTCAGCCCTGTCAAAATGTTCAGGGTTATTTAACTTATATTAAAGGTGCAATGCATAACTTTTCTGTTAGAGGGTCCGTCACCTGCTTGTCTCCATAAGAAGTTATTGCTTTGCCAAGAATGTGGTTAGAGGTGGTTTGTGGTGAGACGTGGAGAGGTTTTAAGCAATAAGAACGCCCCTAACTGAATAAATATAAGACAGATGTTTAGTTTAATGACATACTGTGGAACATTTCAGAGAAGACCAATAAGATTTCCATGGAGACAAAATGGTAGTGGACCCCACGCCATTTTGTTTTACTTTTATTTATAATCATATGTTGTGATTACTGATATCATTTGTTGTGTTTCTGCAGTTTTGAAGCAGAGGAGACTTTGGAGGAGGAGCCCAGAGAGGTGTCCAACTTGAAGAGACATTCAGAGGGGACATTTTCCAATGACTACAGCAAATACCTGGAGGATAGAAAGGCCCAGGACTTTGTGAGATGGCTAATGAACAACAAGCGCAGCAGGTAAGTACCTCCATCTCATCCTGTATCATCTCATCCAGTGGTGGATGAAGTACTCAGTTTTGTTACTAAAAGTACAGATACAGTGGCGAAAAATTACTCAAGTAAAAGTTAAAGTATCACATGAAAAAATCGACTTAAGTAAAAGTACAGATACAGAGGCCAGAAGTATCAGTATGACAAAATAGGTAAAAGTATGTACCCGTTTAAAAATGTAAAATCAGAAGTATTTCACACATATTTTGATCAAATATTGTCCGGTTCAAAAATGCAGTGGGGTAGAAGTAAAAGTTAAGAGTACCCACTGTAAAATGTACTTAAATAAAGTACAGATACCTAAAAATTCTACTTAGTACAGTACTTTACTATATCTACTTCGTTACCTTCCACCACGGTATATTTGTAATCTAGGCCTGTCAATAACAGAAGTCCTATATATTACTGTAGAAAATATTATAAACTATAAACTATCTGCTAGAAATAACTCAGTAAAATGTGATAATGTTGGTACATTTTTCTAAATTAAACACATTTTTAATTACATGAGCTGTGATAGATGAATAGTGTAATGAAAATAATTAGTAGGGAATATCAATAATGAGTCATACATGCACATTTCTTGGGCTTCTATATAGCTCAAAAGTTGTTACCAAAAAAAAGTTCCCCATTAGTGCAAATAAAATGTATGCACCCTGAAATCTGAGTATAAAATAATATTGTTAATCTTGCTTATATTGAACCATTTAGTAATTCTATTTATAAACTTACTTCATTACAATCTAAGTACACTGGAGTACTTCATAATGCAAAATATTACTGTCATAGTCTTGTAGAGATGTGGTAATTATTTGGCTCGCCATATCTTAACAGTTATAAAAATAAGAAAATGTTCCCCACTAGTGCATAGAAAAGATACTTAATACAATAAAATCTGAGCTCAAAATTATATTGTTAATCTCTCATTATTGTCTAGCAGAGAAACTGTTATAATGTGACTCCATTTAGCTCAAAATAAATAAATATGGAAAAATTCCCTATTAATGTAAATAAAATGTAGGCAACATCTCTCATTAACAAATTATAATACTTAATTCTTTACCATCCAAAGTACATTGGTAAGAGAAAGATAAAAACACCGAATCATATAGATAAAAAGTTAAACATTAAAAGCCATTCTAAATACATGTGTCATGAGTTTTTAGTTTAGTAGCTGATAATGGACAATACTGTGATTTTAGTCTTGCAGAGAAGAGGCACGCAGATGGGACCTTCACCAGTGACGTCAGCTCCTACCTCAAGGATCAGGCCATAAAGGACTTCGTAGCCAGACTCAAGTCGGGACAGATCCGAAGAGAGTAGGCGGTCTCCCTCTCTCCCTCTACATTTAAAGCTCCACCAATGACCGGCAAAAACAGACTGTGATTCTATGGGGAAAACTCCTGCTCCTTTTTGTGCTTTTTTTTCCTGCCACTTTTCTGCTTTTACCTTTATATTGTGCTTGTGCTGAAATAAATCAACAAAACTTTTTCTCTGATTGCCTTTCTAATCATTTGAAATAAATCTTAAAGGTGCACTGTGAAACTTTTGTGGTGGAGGGTCCGTCACCAGCTTGTCTTCATGGAGATGTTATTGCTTTGTTAGGTATGTTCTCCAGTATGTCGTTAAGCATATCTAATTCCATGGTAACAGGTAAGTAAAGGTACCAGGTCAGATCTGTGGAGGTGTTACCCAATACACATTTTGCATTAAACTTATGAGCAGCAGTAAGATTTAAGTTTAATGTCACAATAGAAAACAACCAAGGCAAAGCAATATCATCTCCATGGCGACAAGCAAGTGGCAAATCCTCCGACACAAAAGTTACACAGTGCACCTTTAAACTTAAATAGAAATGTGACAAATCGAAAAATTAAAGCAGAATGCAGTTTGGAGCATCGTGGGCTGAGTCAGGGGCCCATGATGTTGACTTTGTGGCTGTGTACACATAGATCTGAAGGGGGCAGTAGCGAGCTCAGCAGGAGGCACGTGGACGGCAGTTTCACCAGCGACGTAAACAAGGTACTGGACTCCATGGCAGCCAAGGAGTACCTGTACTGGGTCATGACATCCAAGCCTTCAGGCGAGAGGTAAAGCCCAAAGATAGTTCAAACTCTATTAATCTAACTAGCTCAATAACGCTGTGGCATTTTCCCTGTTTCAGCAAGAAGAGCCAAGAGGACCAATGAGCGAGCTGGAGGAACCCTTACTGGAAAACAAGCCATACACTATGAATTAAAGCCAAACAATGCTATTTTAAAATGCAAAAAACACAGGAACTCTTCCATAGTGTGTAAGTTCAAATTGAATGTTTTTTTCTACAATTTTTAAATTATTTTCTATGCATGAAATAGGAACTAAAACACAAATCGTACTCAGGAAACACATGGTTTACTAATTATTTGCTCTGCATTAAACACGTTTTTCATTCAGTTCTTGTGTATGAATAATTTGTCACCCTTCATACTTTTTTCTATTTTAAATTAGAAGATTCTACAAACAAACACAAGTATTGATGTTCTGATTATCTAAAGGTTACACTGCCTGATTTCATTTCTTCTTTTGGTGTTTATTAGGGTTAGGGTTAGACTTTTTAGTTTGTTCTTTCAAAGTGCTCCAAAATAGTGAGGCTAGAATAAATACTGAGGCTATAATAACCCCATTAGATCCATCAGTTCCCATTGACTCAACAGGGTTTTGTTACAGTAATGGTATCAGCCATTTGGTATGATAATCTAATGATTCCCATCAAGGACACTGGCAGAAGCTCCTCCAAAAGTTCTCAAGATACAAACTGCTCACCCACGCCCTCCAGTGGAAGTATGGTCCAAAATCTACAGGGTTCACCAAAGAAACTTGAAAGTCGTAAGTTTGATATTTTTATGAGATTTTATGTGAACATCAAACCAAACTAAGAGCTAATAGTCCTGGAACCAGATTATTTTCCTACCTGTTCCCTACTATTATTTTTCATAAATGTACACCTCCAGACATTACGAGTTCAGGGTCTTCTGTTTCAACTGAGTCACAAAAGCCCTTTTGTGGGAGTCACCTTGGGCAAAATTAGATGAATTTGTTAAAAGTGCTGCTATAGTCACATCCAGTGTCACATAGTCTAGAAATGTGGAACAAAAGATACTGACATGATGAGGAACAATATTACCTTACAGGGGTTTATGTGTTTCTGTTTACAATTATTAAACATATGAGAACATCACATTCTCTAGAACAAGTCCACGAACAAATTGATTGTGACACGTCTGCATGGAATTACAGTTGCAGATATAAGTAGAAAGCCTCCCAAATTTTTCTGCTTCAAATCAAGCTGAAGGTGAACTCTGTGTCTCCAGTCGTTCACCTGTTGTAAATAATGTTCCACACCCAAAACCAGCAGATAGAATTCTCAGTCATTTGGCCATAGAATGCATGTGGGGCCTTTCCATGGGAAATTGGCAGATTTCAGGATAAAAATTCCACTTAACTTTCATGGATTTTATTCATGCTTGGCACAGCTCATGTTTATATATGAAATCGTATCAAAGTGAAATTTTAGTCTTGTATCTTTTAAAATGTTTGAGTTATCAAGGATTAAAAGGGGAGTGCAGTCAAAATCAGACCTAGAAGAAAATAACTTTGAATAAGTGTGAATAAAATCCATGAAAGTTAAGTTGAATTTTTATCCTGAAATATGAACACATATATGAAGTTGAACTGTTCTTCCATGCTAATGTGTCACAGTCAATTAGTTTGTGTAGAGGATTTGTTCCTGAAAAAGCTCATTTTCAACATAATTTTAAAATATATTAATAATATTTTGTATTGTTGCATTCCTCATCATGCCAGCATTCTTTCTTCCACATTTCGGGACTATGTGACACTAAATGTGACTATAGCAGCACTTTAAACATGCAATTAATAAGTTCATAATTATAATTTTGCCAAGAGTGGATCCCACAAAAGGACTTTTGTGGCCAAGTTGAAACAAAAGACCCTGAACTCGTACTAGCCCGAGGTGTGACTCATGAAAAATAATAGTGACAAAAAAAGGCATCAGAAATACTCTTGGTGGAGGGGGCTCGCTTCTGGACTATAAAAGCTGAATTGTTTTGTTATCTGGTACACAATAATGAAGAGGACATTATCAGTCTTCAGTCTTTATTTAAGCTCTCAGCCACTCACTCTCTCAATAAACAAACCACAATTAAACAACAGGTCTGAACTGATTTCTATACAGGTGAGTTAAAGTATTCAACAGAAGTCTACAGCTTGCACTAATTATTTTAAGGCAAAATTCCACACAGAAGTGGTCCAAAAATGGATATAGGTATTTTGACCCAATCTAATCAACTAAGCTATCAATTAGACAATGGAAAAGATAACATCTATAACAAAACCTGCCTTGACAGTGACAGTTAGTAAGATATTAGTAACATTTTACATGAATAAAATAGACTATATATTGTACATTGTTAAGTCTTCATTGTTTTTTTACATGTCACACCCTTCCCAGAAACAAGTATTATTGCATCTATAGAAGAAGTTCCTGCAAAGACAGCCATGGCTGTTTCACGTTGTGCAGGTGTTTAGCAATTCGCTTCCAATGCTAACCGACTAGGGATCATGTGGAAAAGGAGATTTTAAGTCCATAGATGACAAAAGAGTATACGCAGGCAGAAAACACTGAGCTTTTGACAGTCACCCTACAAGACTTAAAAGTAGCTGGAGATACTCAGAGTACCCAAACTATGCTGCCATGCTGTGAAGTGCTAACATCCAATGATCCTCCAAAAATATCACAAGGAATTTAAGGAGGAGTGGAAAATACTGGAATGATATGAGCGCTCACTATCACAAAAACATTGAAATATACAGAATATATAAATATACGTCCAAAAGTTTTGACTATATAGGATATCAGTGAAATTGTTACGCATTGGCAAAAGTTTTTAGTGTGAGGTGCAAAAAGGTCAAATACTGCGTGCGATGTCCACTCATTCGTGGGGTCTCTGTGGCAGGAGTTATAATATAAATATAAAAAACATACAAATACAAATAAAGTGTAAAATTTGATATTTTGAAATTATTGGCCCATTGATTCAGCAGCTCTATTTGGCCTTCTCTTTGCTGCTGGTTTGACTAAACATTGATATAGTTAAAAGAAACACTTATAATGCTCCTTTTGGTCATGTAATATATAAGACTTTACACAGAAGCGGCACACACATACATGACAATACACAGTGTAGCACAGTACGAAGGTGATTGAGTGGCACGGTATTTTTTTTTATGTGGCAGACAGCACAGTGGCACCACCAGCAAACCCTCCTCCTCTTCCTTCTCTTCTTCATCCTCCTCTTCCTCACAAACTCGTCTCCCTGTCCAAGCTCTTGTTATGTCTCCGCCGCTTGTGGCGCTTCCCACCGCCACTGGAACTGGTCCGGGACAAGACATAAATTAACTTTTAGACACAATATAAGTACACTACACTCTATAGTAAATTAGCATGCAGTCCTTAGATATTTGCACAAGCACAGGGATATAACAATAGCTGAATCTCGTGGTACAGTATTGCCAGAATTTACATCACAGTATGATAAATACTGCAGTATTACGGGATGATATGTTTTGTTTTTTTTTATTCATGGCCAATGCCGATACTGTGTGTTGGGCCAATAAGTAGGGCAGCTTTTTATTATTTTCCTCAAATTATGTATTTCAAAATTACTATATAAACTCACTCACATCACCAAAGAGAGCTGTGTACTAACATTTTGTGCAGTTATCTCTTTGAATTACGGTGTTAAAATAATACTGTGTGTACTTTTAGCCAGCAGATTGATCAAAACAAAATATTAGCCTGTGCTGGAGATTCAAGGCTGATAACTGCTTTGCACAAAAGTCCAAATATCGGCCCCGTATCTCTAATTGTGTATGGAGCTGGATAGTAGCTACTATTAAACACTAATATTCAGTCCACATCTTCTAAATCTGAATTTTTATTACAGTTATTGTTACATCCCAGTCAGACAAACATTAATTTAATCATTCTAATAACTATTTCACCTCTAACATTTAGCATGCATACTTTGCCATTGCTTACAAACATGCACTAGAAAAATCAAATCAAGCTACAAAATACCCTATTTCAAGGCTACGCCATGCAACAGTTCCTCAGCTAATATTAGTACAGCAACCAGTTCGTGCAGAGGGGAACGGGAAAAACTCACCTTTGGGATGAGAGCTGCTGAAAGGTTAAGAGGGGGAGCTGAGGGAGGAGTGGAATGAGAGAACCAGGCAGGATATGTTAGTCTACACTGTTGGAAGTCAGGGAGGGCAAAAACGCTTTAAGATCAACTCAACCCCATAACTGCTTTCACTTTCCAGGAAATATAAGATAAAAGGCAAATACTCCATAGCATTTTGACAACAAACATATATCTGTGCTTGTTTGATCTTTGCTCTCCTTAAATCAAATCAAATACATTGCCATGGAAGTCTCCCAGTCATGAGGTGTAGGAGCTGACCTTTTTGACCCTGGCTCTTTCTCTTTTTTGGCTGTCTCTGGATTCACGTTCTTCCACACGTTTCCGAAAGATCCTTTGGACATTTCATCAGTGATATTCACAGTGGAAGGATCGCTCCTATGAGAACAAGCCATGTCACGTTCAAATGCCTTCAGACAGTTGGATTTAAATTATTATCGAAAATAAATTTAAAAAAAATTACTTGTAGTGACATTCAAGTGGCACCTGGACAATCCCCTCTTCTGCAATAATACTGTGCTCCTCCTAAAATTAAACATAAGTCAAGGTTACATTTCATTGTCTAAAATGTTATTAACACATTTTTCATATGGAGGGCATGGGTCAAATTACTCAGTGGGTCCTTATTAACACATGCTGAACCTAAACAATATTTGTTATATATAATTAATTTGTTATATTATTAATATAAGATTAGAAAGCACAAATTTGCCATATTAATCTTGAGGCTTAAAGGTGCACTGTGTAATATTTCTAGTGGCGTCTTTTCAATGGACAATTTAAATTCCACTAGAAGACTAAGAAGACTTTATGTCAATTTTTGTTTCACATGCATTGTCCAAGTAACTACGGTACAGAGATTTTAATGATAAATCCAGTCAAACTTCAACTTTCTGACCTGTCCTCCAGCTCAACTTTAAACTATG